AAAATAATACTTTATGTCTACACAAAAAAATTGAGGCAACAGATTATAAGCAATATTATTAATTAAATTCTAAAAGTAAAGTACTGATTGAGAAAAATGTAATTAAATTTAGCTCAAATTAGTGGAGCCTGTTTAGCAGTTTGAAGCCACAAAATGGATAAACAACAATCTCATAATAGACAATACATCATATTATACACAATAAAAACTGTACATTTAAACAAACTTATAATCTTAACAAGGACTTTAATAATGTTTTTAAACAGCATATTTTCAAACAACTGGACATTAAACAATATTGTTTAAAACAATACACTTAAAGTGAAATTTATCTTTAATGCATGAAAGGTATTATTTGCCAGAATAATGCAGATTCATTGAAGGAAAAAGGACACAGCAGTTCATGAGAATACTACCCTCTATTATCTTCCAGTGTTCACTAACGCACAACTAAACAGATGTTTTAATTCTTAACATGAATGTGCCCGTCTGATCATCTCTGAAAGCTGATTCCAGCAGCTAAAGGCGGATTCAGCCTGTTTTGACTTAACTCTTGGAGTTTCTAATTTACTTGATCCTAATGATCTGAGTGACCTGTCCGGTTTGTAATCAGCGAGTATATCTGTAATGTGTAGGTCATAGACCATTTAGTGATTTATAGACAAGTAATAACAGTAAATCTGTTCTAAATTTAACTAGTTTAAAGCCAGTTCAAAGACCTGAGGACAGGTGTGATGTGCTCTGATTTTCTGGTTCAGGTCAGAATCTATATAAATATATAAAATATATAAAATAATTTTAATTAATTAATTAAGTAGTAATAGGATATAAAGTGGTAGAAACAGAATAAATCCAACACCAGACTATATAAATGATTTTTAATTAAACTATCCTTTTACATTTTTTTTTTTGTAGATTTAATATGTGAGATGAGCATTAATAAAAGAAAAACACCTAACTGTGATTCTGAAAGTTCTTATTCATTTTACATACTGTTTATAAAACTTTTTGTTTTTCCCTCTTGGTTAAAGATTATTATTCATGTGAAGTGAGATTTTTGGAAGCAGTGGAATCAATTTGACTGAAAAGCTCTGTTATGATCACAAATAAGAGTCTAAGAGGATCCAGATGCAAGCGATGAAGTTTATTTGACAAAGTCAAAATAAACAAACAATGATAGTGACAGGCTAGGAGGACGATGAACACAGGGCAGGAACAGACAGGGTTCAGGTATATCTCCTCAGGGGCCTGAGCAAAGACAACACACATATGAACAGGAGTAACGAACTGACTTAGAAATGTCGCCCTGATATAGGCCTATTAATGAGCCTCAGCTGGCGAGTAATCAGCCCAGCTGAGTGTCGTCATAGCCCGTGAGCATAACAAATACACATGGACAACCAAAACAAAACAAACCCACATGATCAAACATACACTCCGGAAAAGCACACAAACCTGCAGCCGTGACAAGCTCATACCAAAACAAGTTTTAGGGTTGGTCAGGTAAAGTAATTCTTAAGATAACAACTACATATTTTCACACCATGTGATTTCTTATAGCATATGTTGTTAATTATAATTAGCTACTGTAGTACAACAGTAGTCTTTCCCAGACCAGCCTGCTAGACCTTGTACCATATAAGCTGGCAGGACCCCAAGGACAAACCAGTTTGTTCAAAAACAAGATTGACCACCCCACGCAGGTTATTCAAGCTTGGGTTATAAGATTGGTATGTGTTCACACCTTTAGAAAAGTGACTCCCATCATTATTTGCAAGAAGTGTCAATAGAATGACATTTCAAATCTAAAATGAGTGGCAAAACAGCCTTAAACAACAGGAGATAAGTGCAGGTGAAATTTGATTTTCGTGATATTTTAGGTTTGAGAAGTTAAAGGTAAGCACAAAGTCTTCTTTTGTCAAGGATGATGGATTGAAATTTTTCATTTTAGGCATAGGCTACATGTCAACAAAAGTGAGGACAGAAGATCCTTTGAGTTTTAAACCAGTCTGACTTTCTTTAATGATTCTTTAGTGTGCCTGAATTAAGAATGATCACACTGAAATGACCGAAGACAGAAAGACAGCAGTGTTTGTTTTTTGACTGCAAGTTTGAAAGCCACTTAGCATGCGTTTAGCATCATTCTGCTTTTTATTTTCTCTTGCAGTCATGAAACTTCTCAAACTTCTTCTAGCTCTCATTATAATTCTTTTCACACCACAGATGGTTTTTATTTAGAAATGTTTCATATCTCTCTGATTTATTATTGATGCTTGAACCACAGGCTAACCGTTATATGCTTTCAGTGCTAGCCACATGCTAGCTATCCTTGAGAAATATAAATGACCACATAAATTAACACTGAGAACTTTCTTTAGTTTTACTGAATTTGGTAAATGACTGCTTCTTTGGTTCACTTGATGTCTTTTCAGCAAATATTTCCAGTTCTCTGATCAAAGTCGTTCAACAAAAGCAAACAGTTCAGCAAGCTTCAACTGTCTCATAATGAGAGGGCAGAAATGACAAATACTGCAGAAACAACAGTTATGAAGACCAAAGAGTCAAAGTTATGACTCGCATTGCTCTTTTTGTCCTGACTTGGCAGTCCTTGCTAAACTAGCCACAGTCTTTTTCCAATTACAGTAATCACTGCACAGAAGTAACAAAAATCCTCAATGGCTAGGGTTGAGATTTGCAGAGGAGCTCAGCACACATTCTGCATGCATGGACTGCGGTGAGGCGAGATTATGGTGAACGGCAAACCTACCATTAGGACCTGTCTGCTTTTCTACTCAACACAGACCTCACTCGCCTGGCAGAGGCTAAATATGTAATTTCTGTGACATAACCGATTTCATCAGCTATAATGAAATGCAACAGATAGGTCTGCGAGAGGACTTTTTCAACAAGTACACTGCTACTACTTCTATGTTTCAATATTGCGCTGTACATTGAAGTCATTTTTATTTACCATAGTGAATTGCAGACATATCAATTTGATGTCTTTGTTTACACCTGTAACATAAATAATTTAGGGTGGCGTGGTGGCGCAGTGGGTAGCACTGTTGCTTCACAACAAGGTCACTGGTTCGAGCCTTGGCTGGGTCAGCATGTTCTCCCCTTGTTTGCGTGGGCTTCCTCTGGGTGCTCCCCCACAAGTACAAAGATATGCGGTAAAGGTGAATTGGATCAACTAAATTGGCCGTAGTTTGAGTTTGCATGTGAGAGTGTATGGGTGTTTCCCAGTACTGGGTTGCAGCTAAAAGGGCATCTGATGCGTAAAACATGCTGGATGAATTGGCAGTTCATTCTGCTGTGGGGATCCCTGATTAATAAAGACTAAGATAACTAAGATAAGAGACTAAGGTGAAAAGAAAATGAATGAATGAACAGAGCATTTGCGAATATCTCTTGGATGACAGACATTTAAATTTCATAATTTCTTTATGATTTATAATGTTTTTGAAAGAGACCCCTTAAAGCCATTCATCTTTAGCATTTATCTCTTGCAAATATCTGGCAGATGTCATTTAAATAATTAAACATAATGCTCTTATATTTGTGTTGAAAGACAGGGTCTAGAATTTGTCTAATACACATGAGCTCATTTGTCCAATTTTGACTGCGAAGCCATCATAAATTGTGAAAATAACTCATTGAAGAGGACTTTAAGACCAAGCGGAATCTGGCATAAGTGTTGTCATCTTTCACTACTGACCTACTGTATTGTTGTTAAATAGAGAATACAGTTCACAAGCAACTTTTATTCCAAATCTATGACCTTATTCTTAAATAAAAAATAACAATAAAAAATACCAATAAAAAGGAGTGAAGCACTAAAAGGTCATTCTGAAGCATATTAAAGTTAATCTAAATACTAATTGGCTATTGTTGTTATCTATGAATTTTCAAATATACTATTTTACAAGAGTGACCACAAAAATCGGGAAGCTCTTTGTTATTATTATTATGTTTAAATTTTTTATTATTAAAATCACAAAATTCACACTGAGTAAAGTTGAATGTGCTAGCCAGTTTCTCATTAACTCACAAATATCAACTGACTATAGCTTTTTATTTAAAACTTTAAAAGATTCCTTTTTGTCTCATGGTATATGATTTGATAAATGTGTATTAAAATTAATAAGTATGAATAATAATTTAAATAAGTAATTCTTAAATATTTTTGTTATAATAAATAAATATTTTTATATACGTTTCTTTATTCTAAATAATTAGAAAATGTTAGAAAATTCAGAAACAAAATGTGTTCAAAATGTCACTAAAATGCAGAATTTTAACCTCAAATGACAAGAAAATGAGGCAAATAACTGCAACAAAAAGTTCACTTTATTGCAAAAAAGGATGCCTTCTGTACATGCCTGAATAAAGTAACAATGTTGGACAGCTGTTTAGAAGCTTTAGTTATCTGGATTTGTTCTACTTTAATAGATTCAAAAATTGTATTTATTCCTCTAATATCAAAATTTAAAATGTAAAATACAAACAAAAGAAACTAAGTAAACTCTATATTAATCACCACACGTACTGTAAGTGGTCACAGTTTGTTTTCCCTCGTAACAGCAGCGTCCTCTAGTGGCGGGTATCTGACATATCAGATAAGGTCAATAATAAAACTAATCACCAGTTAATGTTAATGATCATGATCATCATTGAAAAATAACAGACAATATAAAACCATAATCTCAAACGGTATTCTGATGTAAAAATACAGTTTGCATCAAAGCATGAAATAAAATGAACAATAATTTTGTCCCAGTCTTCCCTCAAAGTCAATCAAATATGTGAAAATTATTAACTATTAATATATTGACCTTACATCAGTGTATTTGTAAACACAACATGCAATAATAACATCTTCAAGAATGAAAACTACATTTCCCATAATGCCATGTGACAATCCACAGGAAGTATCAGTAACTTTAAAAAAAACAAAAATCTTTGTAGAATTGCTCAATGTCATATTGTCTAACCCCTGACAGCTGCAGAGAGACCAGGGAGGAGAGGCATCACTTCATGATGAAGCTGCTTTGCGGTTTTACTCTGTTGTTAACAGTTGCTCTTGCCTATTACGTCTACATCCCATTGCCCAGGACAATCTCTGAGCCATGGAAACTGATGGTGCTGGATGCCACATTCAGGGGAGTTGTGAAGATGGTAAGTAGCACATTTTAAACAGTCCACCAGGTAAACTGAGGGACGGACAATTTTGATTGGCTTAAAAACAAGATCAACTAAATTATGTTCTAAACTGATTTAGCAGATCACATGTAGAGTCAGATGTCTGTTTAACAGAATCAATATGACTGAGCTAATATTATATCATTTGTTTTGTCATTAGACTAAAGTGTAACTTATTCTACATTCATTTTTGCTTCTAGTAAAAATATTACTAAATTACCTTTTTGCGGCAGCATAAATCCTATTAGACGTGGTTTTTATTAACGAATCATGCGTTTTTGAAGAGACATGTTGAGAAATGACCTTGATTTGCCTGTTCTGATGAACTTTGCCCAACTTGGCACAACAATAGCTAATACCCAAGAGCAAGATGAAATGTGCTCTGTTCACTGCCATCGTGAACTTTTCTCTCATTATCTACGCCTTGCCATTTATTCTCTTTGTTTGTGCACTGAAATATCATGCAGACTGGATTTCAAAATCCTAATGAGGTGAACGGTGACTTTCTGATCATGCTGTTTTGTAGGGAGACATCGCTCACTCACTGGGTTTAAGTCATAGCGTCCATGTTATCAACTCTGCTATAGTTGGCTTTGAGAGTTTGGTGCCAATCACAAACCAGGAGATCCAGACTGAAGATGTCCTATTTGATGGAGTCCACGTGCGTGTGTATTATCCTCAGGGAGAGGAAGAAAAGCTGAGGAGAGCTGTCATGTTCATTCATGGAGGTGGATGGTCCTTGGGTGCTCCAAGTAAGTTTTTCTATTGAATTAATTCATTCAATTTTCTTTTCGGCTAAGTCCTTTTATTAATCTGGGGAAGCCACAGTGAAAAGAACCGCCAATTTATCCAGCATATGTTTTATGTAGCAGATGCCCTTACAGCCGCAACCCATCACTGGGAAACACCCATACACACTGAATCACACAGATACGCTATGGCCAATTTACCCAATTCACCTATAGCACATGTTTATGGACTGTGGGGGGAACCGGACCACCCGGAAGAAACCCACTCAAACACGGGGAGAACATGCAAACTCCACACAGAAATGGCAACTGACCCAGCCAAGGCTCGAACCAGTGACCTTCTTGCTGTGAGGCAATTGTGCTACCCACTGTGTCGCCCCTCTATTAAATTCACTATATTTATTATTGAATAGTGAAGTGTTTATTATTAATTATTTATCCATGCACTAACTCCTTTATGTCTCATATTCATTCATTTTCCTTCGGTTTAGTCCCTTATTAATCAAAGGTCACCACAGTAGAATGAACCGCCAACTATTCCAGCATATGTTTTACGCACAGCTAGAGCCACACTGGGAAACACCCATACACTCTCAAATTCAAACACACACTTATACACTACAGCCAATTTACTTCACATTACATGTGTTTGGACTGTGGGCGAAACCGGAGCAAACATGGGGAGAACATCCAAACTTCACACAGAAACGACAACTGGCCCGGCTGGGACTCGAACCAGCAACCTTCTTGCTGTGGGGCAACAGTGCTAACCACTGAGCCACCATGCTCTCATATGCTTTAAATTATTTTTGTCTCCTACTTAAAAGATCTCTTCCCTAATGATGTGTTCAATGGTAAGAGAGCGGGACAACCTGTCAATCACATGCGATGCACCAGTAGCAAACCACAAGACTCCAATACATTCAAATTGGACAAAATTATATCCGGTTTTACTTTTTTTTTTTCAAAGCTCTTTCAGTGCTTTAATTAGAGCTGTGTCTCTTTCATATACAAACTAATATAATGAATTAACTGAGAACCCTATATCAGTCAAGAGAACAAAAGCACATTTAATTTGAGCAATTCTTGTGTTTTCCAGTTGGTGTCCTCAAATTGATTCCTGAGGTAAAACTGCCACAAAATATTAAATAAGTTTAATCCATCTGTGTTGTTGTCAGACCGCTAATTTTTTGCGATGCCATTTTGTGTTGAATTTTAAAGATGAGATGAAACTTTAGCAACTGTACATCAGATGTACATCATCGTGGATAGGATAAAATAGTGCACAAATACAATTCAAAATGACCAACACTACAAATAATTCATTGTTATTCAAGGTTGATCGTGGTTTCATTCACACGTAAATTTCCCAATATTGGATGCTTCTCTTTAGCATCTGATAAAACACTTTATAATGGTCATAAGTTAGCCAGAATGTCTTGGTATGATGAAGCATTAAAAGTTTCTTTCACTGGAACTAAGGATCCCATAAAATACAGCCCCACACCATAATCCCCTCCATCAAACCTTACATTTGGCAGGCAAGCAATAATCGTTCTCCTGGGAACCAGCAAACTCAGCCTCGTCCATCAAATTGCAAGACAGATAAGCAAGATTTGTCAGTCCAGACAACACGTCCAGTGGCGGTGTGTTTAATGCCTTTTCACTGAACAGTATGGTTCAGTGCAGTGCAATATGGTATCATTCTGATCAGACATGTGTTTCCACTGCCAGCAGCACCCTTGTGGTAGGCGTAGAGTACTGCTGAAATTGTGATTAATAAGCATACCATAACATGCAAACAGCCCTGTAAACAACATGTAGGACATACAGCTGATTCTGTTCTTGCTCGCCATGTGGTTTTTCACCTTTAATTGAGAGGACAGTGGAGACTGAAGATATGAATGCACTGGGAGCAGGGAGAGAGGAACAAGAAATGGCAAGGAACCTCAAGCCAAGAATCGAACTCGGGTTGCCGGGAGCACCTCTTTTTAAAAAATGGTACTTCCTCTGTTGTCATACCTCTGGTTTGTTGCACACGCAAGTGATGATTCTCTGTAAACCAATAGCATTCATGAGCTTCAACATTTTAGTACCGTACTGTTTGATATTATACACTTGTGGCCATGGAAATGATTGAAGCTCCTGATATTTCAACAATTTGGAAGGGTGCCCCAAGTCTTAAGCTTATATGCAATAAGTAAGACTGACATCCAGTGGTTGAACTAGACACTGCTCTCCAAATTCAAAACACTTCCACACAATTACAGGTTGCCAGATTGACAAGACCAAGATTGATGATGCCTGACTATCAAGTCACCATGTCCTAACTACACATGACAAAAGGAATCTTTTCCACATTAATAGAAAGGTTTCTATTTCTCGTAGCTGAATAACAGCATACAATGACACGATTACCTCAGGTCCGGATTATGTGCTTTATTCAGTGTTGCAACTGATTTATACTTCTGCGTCAAGAGCACACATAAGTCTGGCGCAGCCTTCGTGCTGTTGCATAGCCCTCGCCATGGCTGATGGTGGCATGGCTGCACATCTGCCGGTTCCTGCCTTTAAATGAGTGAGTTTTAGCTACCTGTACATTAGTGTTCATAAAAAGTAAGTAGTGTTTATAAAAAACAAAACACCAGTGAAGAAACTCGACACAGAAGAATATAAAACACCTCACCGCCAGCTACCGTTTCAAAAGTGTTATTGCAGAGAAACACAACAGAAGTATAAATGCACGGCAACGCGCAGGGCATGTGCCTTGGGTCATTTCAATCACTCAACGCAGAAGCCTTTAAATGCTACCAATGTGAGTGTGAATTCCATTTTACGTGACATTTATTGCCATACTACTGAAAGCAGCAGCCGTTCAACTCAGATCTTGAAAATAAAATAAACATAAAGTTTGAAATTGATCATTAACTGTCACTCAGTGCAAACCAACAAATATCAGTCACTCAGCGTGGATTTTAATAATGTTAAAGTTTAAAGTGTACTTTTATTCATTTCCTTCAGCTTAGTCCCATTATTTATTAGGGGTTTTCATAGTGGAATGAACTGCCAACTTATCCAGCATAAGTTTTAAGCAACGGATGCGCTGCAGCCACAACCCAGTATTGGGAAACACCCATACACTCTTACATTCACATGAACACTGATCCACTACAGCCAATTTAGCTTATTCAATTCACCTATAGCACATGTCTTTGCCACCGCGTCGCTCTAAAGTGTACTTTTAATATTTAATTACATTTTAAATATTACCATTTCATTGGAGTGCAGTGCATTATTCTTTGCTTCTGAACGGCTGAATTTAAATTATTCTGTCGTGTTGTGTCTGTATGTCAAATTGAGTGTTGTACGGTGTGACAATGTAACCTGCTCAACTAATGTTTACATTTGTAATATTATTACTATTTGATCATTAAAAAACAACTTACATAGAACTTAAATGTAAGATACGTTTTATTAACACGAAACATGTTATGTTGCATGGGGGGTGTTGGGGGGCTGTTGCCACTTCTGTTTCATGCTGACTTCAAAATGATTTTTGATCTTTCTGTTTTTATTTTTTTATATATTTGGGGGATTATAAGTGAGATTTATCTAACTGCATTTTTTCTGCCATTAGAGTTGGGGTCATATGACAGTCTCTGCAGGCAGATGTCAGCTGATCTGAATGCAGTAGTAGTGACGGTGGAGTTGAGTATATGCTCTTATTCAAATATGAAGAAAAACCTAATCTCTGGTTTTGATAAATTACACTGAAAATAAATTACTACATTTTGTGCAGCTATCGGATGGCTCCTGATGTGCACTTTCCGGTGCAGTATGAGGAGTGTGTGCAGGCAGCTAAACACCTCCTGAAGCCAGAGGTGCTGAAGCAGTACTCAGTGGATCCTGAGCGAGTGGCCGTCTGCGGAGACAGTGCTGGAGGAAACCTGGCCGCTGCAGTGGCTCAGAGGGTACACTTCTGCTTTCCTTTCTCAATCATTCTTAGCATGTAATGTCATTTCAACAAAGGTCTTTTAAGGTCAAACTGCCTATTACAGGGATAGTTTGTTCTAAAATTAATATTAGGTTATTATTTATCTTAAAGTTTTAGGGAAGTTTTCTGTTAGTGCCTTTTATGCAAATACAATGAATGAGGATTTCAGCTTTGAAAATAAAAAAATAAAAAACACTAAGCTTAAGTAAATTAAAAACAGTCAATTTTGTACACTTTTACATCATTCAAAGTCATATGACATTGTTGCATGGTGAAAAAAAAATAACCACTGTGACTGAATTATTCATGAAGACATCTCTGGAAAAAAGTCAGTTTTTGCCAAAAAAATGATAAAGAGACTCTGAAAAAAAAAAGAAAATGAAATCACTCAGATCAAAAAAAAATTTACTCAGATCAAAAATCACTATGTATTTAAAAATTAAACATAACTTGGTATCAAAGTTATGACTTTTTTTTAAATCCTGATGACTTTTTCATACTTTTGACAATTTTAAATGTTTGCACCATAATTGACAATGTTTCTCACAATCTACTTTATCACATTATGACAGTATCTCATAATCGTTATCTTTAAAATCACTTTCAAATCACTTTAAAGATACATTTAAAGATAAATGTATCTCGTAATTAACAATGTATCTCATAATCGACTTATGACAGAATCACATACTTTAGATTTTTAAACCATTTAAACATTTAGCTCATAATTGACAATGTATCTCACAATCAACTTTTGTAACATTATGAGTTTCTCATAATCATAATTTTTAAATCATATTAACATTTATCTCATAATTGACAGTATCTCATAATCCTGATTTTTAAATCCCGCAAACATTTATCTCATAATTGACAATCTATCTCACAATCTACCTTTTGTCACAATATGACAGTATCCTAAAATCAGGATTTTAAAAGCATTTTGATATCTCCTAATTGACAATGTATCTTAAGATCTACTTATGACAGTAGCTCATAATTTACATTTTTAAACCATGAAACATTTATCTCAAAATTGACAATGTATTACACAATCTATGACAGGGGTGTCCAAACTCAGCCCTGGAGGCCGGTGCAGTGTCCTGCTAAGTTTAGCTAACTTGCTTCAACATACCTGCCAGGAAGTTTCTGGTGTACCTAGTAAAGCTGCGGTCACACTAGAGTTTCAGGTTGCAAAATTCTGTAGTGTGGCGCTGTGAAAAGGGGAGGGATTAAACAAAATAATTAGACATTTTAAAAAGCGAGCGATTGGTCCATATTTTAAATTTCTGTTTAGCGAGGTCATGTTTTGATCTTTGATTGGTCTCACGCAGTCAAGTAATGCAATTTCGCAGGTCAGAGTTCACCAAGCTTGTACTTTACAATGCAGCGAACTGCGAAACTTGTCGCACAAGCTTGCGCTTCAGGTTTGACGCATTTGCGTGCTTATGCATGGAAGTCTATGTGGAAAAAAGTCCAGTGTGACCACAGCGTGAGAGGATGATTAGCTTGTTCAGGTGTAATTGATAAGGGTTGGAGCTAAACTCCCCAGGACACCGGACCTTCAGGACCGAGTTGACACTGCTGATCTATGAACCGCTGAGTATCTCATAATCTTGATTTTTAAATAATACTGACATTCATCTCAAAATTGACAGTGCCTCACAATCTAGATTTGTAACATTATGACAGTTTCTCATAATATTGATTTTTAGATAGTTTTAATATGTATCTAATAACTGACAATGTATCTTACAATCTACTTATGACGGTATCTCATAATTTAGATCTTTGTACCATTTATCTCATAATTGACAATGTATTTCACAATCTACTTTTGTAACATTATGACAGTTTCTTACCATCTTAATTTTTTAATTATACTGACATTTATCTCATGACTGAGTGTCTCACAATCTACTTTTTATGTCAAATTATGACAGCATCTCATAATTGTGATTTTAAATCATTTTGACATTTACCTCATAATTGACCGTGTATCTCACAACTTTCTTTTATATCATAAATGAATTTCTTTTTTATATCTTTCAGTTCAATCATTTTGGCACAATTGCAATTTTAAACTTTTATCATGATTTTGACTTTGTTTTCTCTTAGCTAAGACTCAGTACTTTATTATTACAACTTTTAATCTCATAGCTGCCTTGGAATCTCTTAATCTAAGATTTTTGTAGCATGCAGTTTCTGTAATTAACTTTTTTTGTTCTCTATTAGATTGGAACAGAAAACAGTACCTCAGCAAAATTCAAGCTGCAGGTGTTGATTTACCCAGTCCTTCAGGCACTCGACTTCAACACAGCTTCCTATCAGCAGAACCATAATGTCCCCATCCTATACCGCAGACTAATGGCTCGTTTCTGGTTGGAGTACCTGGGCGCTGACCCTGAACTTGCACACTCTATTATGATGAACAACCACACAGCCCAAGACCAAAATCTGTTGTCCCAGAATCGTGCAAAGCTGGACTGGACCAATCTTCTACCAAAAGAAATAAGAAAACATTTTAAACCTGTTTTTCCAGTGACTGGATCTCCCAATATCTTAAGTGATGTTCCAGGTTTACTGGATTCCAGAGCCTCTCCGTTACTTGCGGAGGATGAGGTTTTGCGTATGGCGCCACGTGCTTATATTATGACTGGTGAGCATGATGTTTTGAGGGATGATGGGATGATGTACGCCCGCAGGTTGGAGCTGGCAGGCGTCTCTGTCACTAATGACCATTATCAAGATGGATTTCATGGCTGTGTAAGCTTTGCTTTCTGGCCCTGCTACTTCTCTGTGGGAGTGAATGCAGTGCAGAATTATATCGCTTGGCTTGACAAACATTTGTAGACCTATAGGAAGAGACGAATACTTTAAAATGTGCATATTAGGGATTTACACATTGTGATGAATTCTTTCGCAACATGACATGATTTGTAACATTTAGTTAAGAATTAAGTATCTGATGTTTTACTGTATTAAAAGAAACTGCATTGTCATTTCCAAATACTAACACATTTCTGTTTTTTTAACTAAGGTACTAAAAACCAAATGACAAGAATTTTGTTTTAAATAATACTCTCTTTCTAACACCATTAATATACACAAATATGTGCACACACCCTTTACGGTAAGCAGAATGTTTTTGAAAGTGTTTAAATTCAAATGATGGCTTAATTGCTTTTGTGCTTGTCATTACTATCACCTAACATGTTAACAAATCATGTCATTTGTAACCATGCATTTCATAAACCTTTGTAACACTTTCACTCCAGACTTGATTTTACCATATGTCTATTGCAAAACACTGTGAATAAAGCAGGAATTTATTAATGCTTCAGTGATAAAAATAAAATTAAATATTGTCTAGTTTTATCAAATATTTTATAGCTATATATATATATATATATTATTTAGAGCTTATAGCTCTACCAAATAAACAATGCAACAAATGTGTATTTTGTTTTGAATGGTCTGGCATCTTCTTATTTAACTTGTGACTGTTGACATTTCTGCTAGTTGCTTAAGGTCATCAAGTCAGAATTTTTGTAAGGTTCCCAGAACAAAGTTAAAGAGAAAGGGGGACTGGGCTTTTGCCATTGTTGGCCCCAAATGCGGAATAGTCTACATCTTTTTATTAGGATAATCTCCACAGAACCCTTGTTCAATGGGGAAACCAAACCTTTACCTTTTAGAAAAGGCCTTTCAAACCCGAATCATTTGAGCTTGATTTTTTTCTTTCTTAAAATGATTCAAGTTTTATCTATTATATTTTTTTTTCCTTAGATTTTTTGTGATACATTATATTTAATTTGTGTACAGCACAATGGTCAGCAACTGTTGTTGTGCTATTTATACAAGGTAAGAAAATAGCCTAAACAACATTGCTAGTTTTATTTTTCACTTTCTTACAGGGGCTCATAAGAATATTTTATTGGCACTGTGTGAAGGAAAGTTCTCCACCGTCCGAGGCTTACGATATACACACTATATGGCCTATAACAGAGGTGTCCAGACTCGTTCCAGAAGGGCCGGTGTCCTGCTGAGTTTATTCCAGCTTGCTTCAACACACCTGCCACTGCCAGGAAGTTTCTAGTAATCTAGTAAGAGCTTGATTTGCTGGTTCAGGTGTGTTTCATTAGGGTTGGAGATAAACTCTCTAGGAGAGTTTGGACACCCCTGGCCTATAATAAATGTTCATTCAAACTGATATTCGTGTCATTTTAATAAACGTTACCTCATTTGTCGACAGGACGATGGTGTGGAAGGCAATATTTGGTAAGAATTTGCAATAGACCTTGATGGTAAATTTTCTGAGGAACATCAATGTCGACTGAACATCCCTCCTCACATGTTTTCCGTTAAATGTTTGCAGGTAAACAATGTTAGTTTCCAAGAGTTTCGTTTAATTTGAGTAGAAACATAAGTTACAGTAGCTAATAGCGCACGACGCCAGAACGCTGAAAACAAAAACCGAGGTTAATAAAACTGCGTGTACGCCGTGGCCTACATCTTCACGCAACTATCGCTTTATAAAACACAGACGACCTGAGAGAAAAGTCTTACAACCCGCCCTTTACACACCCACTTTCAACCATAGTCAATCACCTCACGGTCATGCATATTCAAATGTGTCACAAATCAATGGTAATTTATGCCCAATCAATGCAGAACTACGTGGCGTTTAAGATTTAAAGAATTTGTTGAGTTGCAACAATTCATGCTGGAGTTTATGCAGTTGGTTTACCCAACAAGAAAATAATTCAATATGAGGGAAAGGGTGGTTTATTATTTTATAATATTTTATTACAATAGTAGTATTGCATATGAAGAGTTTATATGCAACAAAAAACTAATGCGCCGTCTAAAAATTTCCTCTAAAATGAGCATTTGTATCAGGCTCTTGTATGCATGTTCAGTGATATCACTCTTATGCCAAAGAATAAGTTATTTTCATGGTTTTTAGATGGGGGAAAAAATCAACAAGGAATTGCATGTGAACTCTTCATTGGGTGTGCAAAAGCAACCTATTGTGGTCTCTTAACGTCAGCACTGCACCTACCCTTATCCTAACCTCGCCTCACGGTAATGAAAAATGTATTATTAATGTACAGCATAGCGAAAATGGCGCTATATGAAAACACTTCTCAGAGCCCCTCTAATGTAACCCCTCTAGGCGTAATCCAACTCACTGCGTAAATCCCTGGTTAATGTGATTTCATCATAGGGCATGTTTTTGAATCAACATCTATCTTGATCCTTGAACAACATTCCAGAATTAAGGGATAAATAAACAATTTGTTAAGTTTAGGCCAACAGTAACCTAAAATACTTCTACATGATTGTTATCCAATTTTGATCTGTAATTCACAGATAGGGTAGGTTTAGGCGTAGGTATTAGATGTGAATTACATTTGTGAACAAAAAGTATGTTTCAGGATGAGCACAGATGTTAATCCAGGATCCGATGCGATACTTGGCAAAATCACACACATCTAAAAATCCCTCCCGTTTGTAGTTCACCGGGGGGAAGCGATACCCAGTACTCGATTCTCATTAGTCAATACTGTGTTGCCCTCTAGCGGAAATGACTGCAAAATACCGTCGTCAAAGACTGAACTTATGATTAATCACACATACAATAAGACACAAGACGCTGTTTTGAAAAACAAGAAATAAAAAACTATAATTTATTTTTGTAGCTTTCTGCAGTTCTCATTATTTCAATGTGGCAGTGAATAAACCAGCAATAAGAGGTTCTCCAGTAATTCAAAAGAAAAATAATAAATCAAGAAACTAAAATCTCAGTTCAAGTAATGACCATTGAAAAGCAAAGGGAGGGGAAAAAAACAACAACGCTACCAAACTATAAAGTTTGAAAATACAACACAATATCCCACTAAGATCCAAGACTCAGCTAAAAAGGTTTTTAATATTTGGTCAAAGCCCTACTGATAGTGTTTTCAAGCATATTTAAGGATACAGATGAAGCACTGCCAACCCTTCTTCATTATATAAGACATGAAACGGCGCAGTGTAACAGTATAGACGTGTTCACTGACCTCTCAACAGGTTTCTAGTTTTGGTCCCTAGAACAGGAATCACAACACAACTGCAAGACAAACACAACTAATTAGAGTCAAGAGGCCTCAGTGGGTGCTAAAAGGTGCTCGGGCAAACATTTAAAGAACATAACATCTTGAAATACTCGTTTACAATTTGCATCAAAACAAATATGATGCTGTTGTGGGAGGGGGAAGGGTTAAAAGATGGTTATCGACCTACCATATTGATTCTCATATTGCTTTAAAAAATTTCACTGCCATGAATACATTCTCAGGCAACACACTGAACACTCTTACATTCACTTGTTTCAGAAATCTGTAGTAGATATTGTGCTGGCGAGACGGCCAGCTCAGTCTGAACTAATAATGAACAACAGGGAGAATAAAAATGTGTACGCAACTCTCAAATGTTGGAGAAACATAGCTGTGGTGGCATTTGTGCTTCGTCATCTTTACAAAACCAATGACAAACGTCTTTCAAAGCTCGAACATGACAAATAAAAATGCACACAGCACTATTTTCCATTCAGAAATTACCGAACAAAGTATTGAACAAAAAATAAAACTATCCTGACAGGACACCTCAGTCCTATATGATCATTATAGGCCTCTAAACCCATTAACACTATTGGGACTAAGTGCTACATTTTCCACCATAAGTAAATTGTGATTTCACCTGACACTGACAATACAGATCGCTGTGAATTTTACCTTCCACAAATGCTTAGAAGCAATATATTCATAAACATTTTTTAAATATTGTCACCACAGAAATGTAAACAAATTAAATTAATTAACATTTGGGTTTATGAGTCAATCTTGTTAGCCATATAGTGATCACACAAATACCTGTGAAACTCATTTTTTAGGTTTGGGTCATTGAACACTTTAAAGAGAAATATCAGATGCTTATCAGATCATTAGTTCATTATGAATTGTATAGAAGCATACAGTTTCTTCCAAAAATAACAAACAAAACGCACAGAATTCCACTTTTTTAGAATTTCAGCTTCACAGTAACTTTCCATTACAGCAGTGTGTACATTTGTGATGGTGTAAGTTCAACATGAAAACTACAGTCAAGAGTTTTGGCAAACATTCTGCTCAACATAACTGTGAATCAACCACGGCTGATGGGGAGATCAGTAGCAGGACAGCCATCAACAGTCAAAATGCATCTTGAGAGCATCTTCAAAACTCTGGTCCTCGTCTGCGCTGGATGCCAGAAAAGAGGCCATCGGGGAGCCTGCGGAAAGGCTGAGAACTCCTGCAGCATTCGTGCCAGTGTTTCTGACCGAAATACTGGTGAGGTTGATGCCGAGAGTGAGCCTGGTCTGTTCCAGGGCTTTTTCGGGGACGGCAAAAGCCTCCAGCTTCTTCTCCCCATTGGCCATGTACGAGTTCTGGCAGCCCCTGCAGATGCAGTCCAAGCAGGCCTTACGGTTGGAGTAGCAGGGACACCGCTGACCCCTGCAGGTAAGAACACTTGGATTCTGAGTGGCTCGTCCACACTTGCAGCCTTTTTTCTCTTGTGTCTTTTTGTATACAACTTTAGGAGGCTGTCCCGGTAACAGGCTAGGCGAGAGCACCCTTTCCTTCGATTTGTTCTTTGCTTTCGGAACGCTCACTTTAGACTTCGCCTGAACTTTCTTATTAATCATGTCTGAGTTTATCTGGATATTTTTTGTTGAATCCAGGACGGTCTTGTTGACCTTTAAAATACCTCCATTGGTGACCATGACCGGTGGTGGTGAGGGCGCTTTGGGTTCAAATGCTGTTTTCGGAGGAGCTGTGGCTGCTACCGATGGCCCTTGGATGAGGCTGGTGATGGGCAGAGGTTGAAGCATCTCGCTGTCGCTTTCAGAGCGAGAGCGCTTTCGGCTCAGGCGCACTTTTCTGTGGGCTGCGGCAAGACACGTCAAGCCTGTCTGAGGTTGCGGTGGGTGTCCTGGTGCAAAGGCCCCACTAGTTTGGGATTGCAATGAATGCTGACACAGCTCTGCTGTTGATTTAGACTGTTCATATGACACCTCCTTGTTTGCAATGTCAAATTTGAGGTCCTCCAGGACATCTGTGCTCTCCTCACTGAGGTGCACAGATTCAGGGCTGTTCTCTGGACTAATGCTGCACTTCACAATGTCAGCGCTGACACTACTCATGTGAAGTTCTGAGCTGGAGCTCAAAGGTTCATCAGCACAGATAGGTTTAGGGGACTCTGGATCAGATGAGGTCTGATCAGAGGGTTTGTCTGAGTCAGTCAGATTGACATCAGCAGAGTTTTGTGAGGACTCTGGGTCAGTTTTCAGTTGGGGATCCTCCAAAGTGTCTTTAACAGGACTGAGTTCTTCTTGTTCCAGATCCACCCCCAGCACCTCCTCCAGCATCTTCTTCACCTCAGGGTACCCTTTGACTTCCAAGACGCTCTGCTCTGTAGTGACCCAGACTGAGACACATTCGCAGAGATTCCTGTAGCAGTCGATCAGAATCTGGAGCTGTCTGTTCTCCTCAAACTGCTCATAGTCTTTACACCAGCTGCAGGATGGCTTCAATGACATTTTCTTGCCTTTACAACCCTTGCATACATAGTGCTGGCAGGAGGAATTTTTGGGAGCAAGTGGATCCTGAAGCAAATTCCCTAAACAGAAAGAAAACAAATTTATTTAGAGCAATAAATCATACCAAAAAAACATTATATCACATTAAGTTCTATTAGGTTCAACCGTGCCTAAGAGAAAATCTTATTCATTTAACCCATAGGGGAATTGACCTTGAATGACATTATTATAAAGACAGGCTCACTGAAAGCTCTGAATAGTTAATCAAGTGTTTACACTGAAGCAATCATGCGGTGTAATTGTAAATTTATGTTTGCCAGTAAAAAATTCCTAGTGAAAAACAACCTTAACTTTTATCTAATTAAATTTCCATAAATCAGGATCAAAACAAGAATAAATAAAACTCACTTTGCAGCATTTCTATTTGATAATGGAAATCTTAATATTCATGGGATAGTATACTACCCCTCATTACTAGTTCGTTGATTCGACTTCTAGCTACTTGTTTTGGTAAATGGTTCTTTCCAAAAAACAACAACAAATACTAAAATAGAGGGCGGGCACTATTGCTGTAGTTAGCTACTCTTGATTGGTTTATTAGTCAAAATACATCACTCGAGGAGCTTCAACAGAGTGGGAGGGGCTTAAGATGTTATTGGCTGCTGTGGCTCTCTGATTGGTAGAATTTTCTGTACAGCATTATGGGTAATGTCGTTTTTCTGCACGAACTTAGTCAATAAACTTAACTGTGTGTTTACTTCTTCAATTGGTTAACAGTCTCAGAGCTCGCAGCAGTTCTGGTTTTTACAGCTTATCAGTTATTTTTTTCTAAATAAATTTCCCCACAACGAATATGCTACGCAGACTGATGAAAACACGATTGTAGCGCTCTTTGTAACGTCATTTACTAGTGCCTATATTCAATACAAAGCAGAGCCATTGTTTCACTCACCACAGACTAAGCAGGACAGAGAGTCCCTAAAGAAAGGAAGGACGTTAAACAGCGCTCCGCACGTCTCCGGGTCCTTCGGGTCGCACTGCACAAGAGAGCGACAGGCCGACACGTACAGCGCGGTGGCGTTTACCGGGTTCATCTTAGCGGCTTCAGTCAATGCAGGACAAAAGGAGAGGACTGATCAGCTACTGAGAGCGACTCTCGGTCAGACCCCCAGTAAATAGGAGCTGTGAGGACACAATCAACCAGGCTTGACCCAACGCTTCAAACAGAGGGTGTAATTTGACATGACTCGCAAGCAGATGAGCGGCTTTGAGTCGTCTGCTTGTTAACATGTCAGATATTTCCTGGATGTTGAGTAGATCTTGCAGAGATGGTCAGTCCGGGAGGAAAATTAGCTGCTCAAGACGACGAGGGGGACTATTTGTCTTCCATGAGAGTCAGATCCAGTTTTCTCAATGTAAAGAGCGATACACTTCTGTGACAAAACACACAGAAACGAAGGACTTGGTGATAAACAGCATTTCAGCGAGCAGCACAGCAGGCCTCGAGCCGCATTTTCGGTGAAACAAGCCTCAGCGTAAAATCAGTCCAAAACAACAGTGTCAAAACAGAAACCGAGTCCCATGCACACGAAGTATAATCCTTGAAATACTCGACTGAGGTTGTTTCTGAAAGCTGTTTTGAACGAACCCCACAATCCGCTTGCCTGCTACTTCGCTAGCTTGCTATTATTGTGTGCACTTTTCTTCGTGTTGTTGAATAAAAGCGATTCTCTCTCTCCCCAGCGAGCGCAACTGTCTTCTGTTTTAGTGAAATGTTTATAAAGCATTCAGCATAATTAACTACGCTTTCAAATATTCATATTACTTTGTCTGTGCTAAGAGCCAGCTTCGTTGCTTATTATTCCTCCGTTAACTTTTGCATCCTGAAAGGAACAATACCAAACAAGAGTAAAAGAGCGGCTGGAATTAAGCGCGAACTCCGGTGATGCTGCCCTCTACAGTGTGGCTGTATAAACCCCACTATACCCAAGCTTTTTTTTTATTGAATTATAACACAATTACATTAAGCCAAAATTCGATTAACAACTTTCTACATTTATAGAACAAGGCACAAATAATAATCAAACCAATAAAATAATTATACAAATAAATGCACTTAAACCATAAAATAAACACACAAACAAAAAGAAAGAAAAAACATGGGTCTTTTATAGGTTAATTTTTCTTCAATAAACTAAAAAGTCTTTTTCCACATTTTAATTTAGCAACTTTAAAGATTTGCAGTATAACCGAAATTGCTTTTGGAAAACTAAAAACAGGGGTTTTGTTTTAAGGCCCTTGCATTCATGAATAGAAAACTTCTCCAAAGTTAGACTATGGTTTAATACAAATTGAATATTAACTTCTTTTCCTAATAAACCACAGAAAATATCATTTTTAAAAAATAGGGAGGACAACTTGAGAAAAACCTTATGAATCAGACCAAAAAGTTCTGCTGTAAACATTCAAAAAATAAATGTGCAGCCGTTTCAATGTCAACCTCACAGAATGTACAATTGCTGTGATCAAAATTAAATCTATGTCTAAGAAACTCTGAAGATTGGTGAATATCCTTGAATATTTCAAAATGTACTTCTTTGGGAGGTTTGAGGAAGGAAAGAAACATTGTTCTTAATTAGAAAATAGAGCTCTTAAATACTACAAGCAACAAATTTTTCCTGTTTTCTTCAAGAATTTGGTCAATATTTTAAAGAAAATTGAATTATCTGAAAATAAGAAAGCAAACAGAACTATTTAATTTTGTAGTTACTTTATTTTGATTTATTCATTTTCCTTCGGTTTAGTCATTTTATTAATCAGGGGTCGCCACAGTGGAATGAACCGCCAACTTATCCAGCATATGTTTGACACAGCGGATGCCCTACCAGCTGCAACCCCAGTACTGGGAAACACCCAAGGGCCACAAAAGGGGGTATGCAGTATATGCAGCGCATTGGAGAATAGGGGCGCCATCTATTTAATATCTTCGTTAAATATTAAAAATAACTACTTTTGTAAAAAATGTTTATTTAGCATTTTATACAATATTATTGTATTTTATTTAATAAAACATAAATCCCCTTACGTTGAAAATTTGTTGCTGGGACATATTCAAACTGATTTGAAGATCAAGTAGACGTAAGCAAAGAACAAAAAGAACAAACAATCCCTTGAAATGAAAACTGACATGACACATTGAATAATAAGATATTGGTAAGCTTAACCCACACTATTAGTACCATACTTTTAATCAACTTCTAGGGCCATATCATACACCCGGCGCAGTGTGGCGCAAGGTGTGACGCAGTAGTCTTTTGGTAGTTTCAGCTTGGTGCAAGAGTCGTTTTGAGGCGTTGCGCTACGCTGTTTAAATAGCAAATGCATTAGCGCTCATTTGTGCGCCCATAGGCGTTCTGGTCTAAAAAGGAAGTCGTTCTGAGGCGGACCGCTGGCGCGTCGCTATTTTGAGAAACTATAATAGATTTTTCATTAGACCAAAACAAACACGGTCTAAACTCCGGCGCAGAGTTGCGCCTCGCTTACACACTGCTTAATACGCACAAGAGAGCAATAGGCAAATATCTTTACATATGAGAAAATGTAAAGGGAATTTACACTGTATTTAAAAGATGATGGTCCAGGATCAACATTAGGGAATTTACACTGTATTTAAATGATGGTGATGGTCCAAGATCAACAACAGTCAATTTACACTGTATTTAAATGATGATGGTCCAGGACCAACATTATAATGAACTTACACTGTAATTTTTACCATTCTTATTTTATTTTATTTTTACCTTTACTTTGTTTGAACAGTAGAGAGAAAAATGTGTGTTGATAATAAAGATGGAAACTATCCGTATGGACCCACGAGGTGGGAACCAAATTCAGATCACCATGATCACCACAGGGACACATGTTAATGCATTAACCACTACACCATTGGTGCTGACAAGATACCAGATTCAAATTATGGTGATGCGCGTAGATCAACATTACTGAATTTACACTAATTAAATGATGATGGTCCAGGATCTACATTAGTGTGAATTTACACTGTATTTAAACGATGAAGGTCCAGGATCAACAATAGTGAATTTAAACTGTATTTCAGAGATGATGGTCCAGGATTAACATTAGTGAATTTTCACTGTATTTAAATGATGATGGTCCAGGATCAACAATAGTGAATTTTCACTGTATTTAAATGATGAAGGTCCAGGATCAACAATAGTGAATTTTCACTGTATTTAAATGATGATGGTCCAGGATCAACATTATAGTAAATGTACACTGTATTTAAATGATGATGGTCCAGGATCAACAATAGTGAATTTTCACTGTATTTAAATGATGATGGTCCAGGATCAACATTATAGTAAATGTACACTGTATTTAAATGATGATGGTCCAGGATCAACAATAGTGAATTTTCACTGTATTTAAATGATGATGGTCCAGGATCAACATTATAGTAAATGTACACTGTATTTAAATGATGATGGTCCAGGATCAACAATAGTGAATTTTCACTGTATTTAAATGATGATGGTCCAGGATCAACATTATAGTAAATGTACACTGTATTTAAATGATGATGGTCCAGGATCAACATTAGTGAATTTTCACTGTATTTAAATGATGATGGTCCAGGATCAACATTAGTAAATTTTCACTGTATTTAAATGATGATGGTCCAGGACCAACATTATAATGAACTCAAACTGTATTTTTCTCCATTCTTCTTCTTATTATTATTATTATTTTTTTAACCTTTAGTTGGACAGTAGAGAGAAAAATGCATGTTGATCAGAGAGATGGAACGAATGAGTATGGACCCACAAGGTGGGAATCAAACTCGGGTCACCATGATCACCACAGGGCCACAGGTTAATCCACTAACCACTACACCATTGGTGCAGTCAAGTTATACGCTTTTAAATTATGGTGATGGGTGAAGATCAACATTAGTGAATTTACACTAATTAAATGATGGTGATGGTCCGGGATCAACAACAAAGAATTTACACTGTATTTAAATGATGATGGTCCAGGATCAACAAAAGTGAATTTACACTGTATTTAAATGATGATGGTCCAGGATCAACATTATAGTAAATGTACACTGTATTTAAATGATGATGGTCCAGGATCAACAATAGTGAATTTACACTGTATTTAAATGATGATGATGATCCAGGATCAACAATAGTGAATTTACACTGTATTTAAATGATGATGGTCCAGGATCAACATTTGTGAATTTTCAATTTATTTAAAAGACTATGGTCCAGGATCAACATTAATGAATTTACACTGTATTTTTTTGCCATTATTATTTTTGGAGAAGTTTTTACCTTTACTTGATAGGATGGTAGAGAGAATAAAGTGTGTTGAGTAGAGAGATGGAAAGGATCAGCATTGGCCCACGAGGTGGAAATCGAACTCAGGTTGCCATGAACACCAGAGTGCCACATGTTAATGCAAATAATAGCATAGCCTACACGCAAAGTCATGATTATTATATGTTCAAACATAAATAAAAGTGATTTTAATTTCTAGCATTTCTAATATTTTTCTTTTTTCCAGAGTAACATCATGTCAGTATGATCCTAAAGTTATTTCAGATCGTGGCCCAGTGTCCTTATCTTATAAATCAGTAAATAATTTGGAAGAATTGCATCGTTGATGCTTACACCAAAAATGGTTACATGAGTCAGATTTTATGAAATTCATTAAAGTACAGATAGATGTTTTCTTTGAAAATAACAAAAATGAAACATCAGCTACTGTAAGATGGGAAGCATTTAGGGCACACATTCGAGGCCAGATAATTAGTTACACAAGTTCAAAAACAAATAAACTTCAATTGGAATTAAATTTATTAGAAAAAGAAATAAAGCTAGTAGAGGAAAAGGTTTATTCAGACATGTCAAATACTATACACCATGAACTGCTTAAACTCAGGGCTCAATACAACAAACTCCATGCAATGAAGGCTGAAAACAGCCTTATTTTATTATTTTTATTTTATTATTTTAAACATTTTATTTGGAGGGAAAATTACCAAAATGTAACGTAATGATTGAAAATGATTGGAGGGAAAATAAAGATATTTAAAATCTCCATACATAACAGAAAAATAAACAATGATAATGCAACAACAATAAAACCTAATGCTAATTCTCAAGCGATTTTCACAACTTCTCGTAACGTCTGGGAATTGTAGTTTATCATTTGACATTAGAGTGGACTACATCTATCAAGTTTGCTCAACTGCTCACATATCTGCAGTGATTGGTTCAGCCCCTCGCCTCCCCTTCGTCAACCGAGTCATGGATTGGCTGTGAATAGCAGGACCTCGCAGTTGATTGGCCGAAGACACCACAGGTTTTCTAACATCATCCTGTCCTGTGTCCTCAGCAAGTGCAGGAGCTATGGCGACCTACAAGTTAATGCGAAGCAGCTTAGGGCTTTTAAACGGTCTAAAATGTCATTTTAAATGTGTGGGTCAAACCCAGTATGGCGTGTTTACTCAGTCGAAAGTGCTGCAGAACGCAAGATGCTATTCCTCAAGCCACATGTCCGTGCAGGAGAGAATTGAGCAGAAACGGCAGGCAGCGCTGACAGGAGGAGGACAGTTGAGAATAGCAGCACAGCACAAACGGGTAAGATTTGTAAAAAGCACAACAGGATGCTACTGACATAAGAAAAAGCTTAGGAGTCTGGAGAAGAACTGTAAAGTTCTGTGCTGTGATCAGGGTAAACTGACAGCGCGCGAGAGAGTGGAGCTCCTGTTGGACGCGGATTCGTTCGTGGAGTATGACATGTTTGTGGAACATCGATGCTCCGACTTTGGCATGGAGGCAGATCAGAATAAGGTAAAGACCTTTTAAATAGGTGCAGATGCAGCAATGTTTTTTTTTCATGGAGAGCCTGCCGAATAAGTTATACTTATATGAAGTAAGTAGTTTTGACCAGGTGGATAAAAGGACTCACTGGAACATTGAGCAAAAGCTGTTTTTATATTCACACATTTAGACTTTCTCCTTAATAATAAAATTCATTAAAATATTATTTGCAAATTCTAAATAGGGACCTCGTACTAGTAGCCAATGCCTATTAAAGGACAAAATTATTCACAGTCAATTAAATAGTGTAAGTGTTCTAAAGTCATTACTTAAATGCAATTTCACACATATCATTTAGATTAGCGTGGCAAAAATATAGGGGCCGATACAATTAATCAATGTGAGAATATAAAACCAACAACAATCATACCTCAATGTGTGGAACTTGGTTGTTGTTAAAAGAAGGGATACAGCTGTGGCCGGAATTTTATGGAGTATTAGTCATATTTATTAAATTACCTATTCAATTGTATTTTATTAACGTCTACACCATATCCCAACCTTAAACCCAACTGTCACAATAAAGAAACTTAATTATACTGATGACTGTTTTTGACTTTGTTTAAAATATGTAAATTTGCTAATGACGTTAAAATAAAAAAGGTTGGTGACAGGCGACAGCTCAATTAAAATAACATGAATTTGCTGGATTTTTAGCAAAACTGTAAACCTTAGCATGAACAATTTTTCACACATGTGGATGATGGAAACTGCTGTAGGACACTCGTTTCCTCTCCGTATGCACCAGACGCCTTCTTATAAACACTCCATGTTACTAGAGAAATATTGTGCAATTCTGAGCGTGCTTTACACAGGTGAGTGTGCTAGACTAACCAACTGTGACACACACTCTTTCCGCATTCTCTTCTGTATGCCCCTGAGACTTTACTACAAACACTCCATTACAAGGAGTCAATAATAGTAATAACAACTGTTCAACTTTTCATGGCATCTATATATTTCTTTTATCCTCATTGATTTGTAAGTTGCTTTGGATAAAAGAGTCTGCTAAATAAACACATGTCAATGTAATGTAACTCATTTAGTCAATAAAAACACACATGACTTTTCTGTGTTCATCATCTCTGTGTGTTCAGTACCCAGGAGACAGCGTAGTAACCGGACAGGGACGGATCAATGGCAGACTGGTCTATGTTTTTAGCCAGGTACGGTAACAGCTTGCAAACCTCTATCTGCAGCGCTGAAATATTTTGTTGATGAACAACTACCTCAGAAATGCTCATCTATTTTACAGGACTTCACAGTGTTTGGAGGCAGTTTATCAGGAGCTCACGCTCAGAAGATATGCAAGGTAAGGCTGGCTGCCTAGTCATTTACATTAAAAACAGATGCGCAATGCTGACAGATTATGGAATTTTTTAACAATTGGTGCAATGAAATTTTCAGATTATGGATCAGGCGATGTTGGTGGGTGCTCCAGTGATTGGTCTCAATGACTCTGGTGGAGCCCGCATTCAGGAAGGTGTCGAGTCTCTTGCAGGATATGCTGATATTTTCTTGGTAAGCTTGAATGGTTACAACCATAAATTTGATATATGCATTTTATGTGCGTAGTTTGTCAAGATACGTTTTAGACAAAATAATAATAATTATAATGTACTAAAAAACAGTGACACTGTTAAAAAAATTGTAAGTATTTGAAAATACTTTAAAATCCAATTTATTTTTGTGGAATCAAAGCCATTTTCAGAATAATTTCTCTAGTCTTCAGCGTCATATGATACATCACTACTGGATCAACCATTACAGTAATCATTTACTATGTTAAATTTGATGCTCAAGAAACATTTATCATTATAAAATATGATAGTTAACATTATAATCAATGTTTGATGAATGGAAAGTAAAAATGTGTCACTTAATTTACAAAATTAGAAAAAAGATTAACAAAAATAATTAAAAAGTAAAATAAAAACTCTTAATGGTCTTTAAAGAAGACTCAATTCAAAATACTTCATTAAAAGCACTTAATTTTTCAAATACAGATTTGTGGATGGGATTTAAAAAATGGGGAACTCTTTGTATATGACTTTGTATATCAAAATACATATCATGTTTTTCCCCTCACAGTTCAGATACAAAAGTCAGCTTGTTACTCAGAGTTATTTTATAAACCTATTATTAAGGATTGCATCCTGGAATTCTGATACCTCTGAATTGTGAGGATAAAAAATAAATAAATAAATAAATAAATAAATAAATATAGATAGATAGACAGACAGACAGACAGATAATCACAGAATTTTAAAAGATTCTGCTTTCTTACAATTTTGTGTTCATAGCTCCCAGGTAAGAGACAGATTTGAAATTCTGAAGACAGTCATACCCATTTCCAAGCATTCCCATTACTTTAAATAAATTGTTTTATCTATTCAGTGGTGAAAACAAGATTCTGTAACTTAAAGCTTTTTTTTAATAGATAAAAATTTTAATTTCCTTTCAAATATTTACTTTTGATCAGTAGTACTACTGGTCAAAAGTTTGGGGTCAATACAATTATTAAATGTTTTAAAGTAAGCTTATCCTGCTCACCAAGGCTGCGTTTATTTCATGAAAAATAAAGTCCAAATTGTGAAATGTTATTGCACTATAAAATAACAAAAGTTATTTTCAAAAGTAGTTTATAATTTCAAATACTCCTTTATTCCAGTGATTTTAATGATGAATTTTGGCTTCATTACTCCTTACATTAATAATTTAATTTGAAACTACATACAATAAGAAATCATTTTTTAAAAATATTTTAATAAATATTTAACAATTCTTTTACATTTAAAGGGGTGGTCCACTACGATATCATATTTTAAACTTTAGTTGATGTGTAATGTAGCTGTGTGAACATAAACAGCATCTCTGAATGTAAAAAGTTCTAAGTTCAATGCAAAGGGAGACACAAAGACAGAAGTGCTTACTGTTCGATAATAATTATGTTTCAGAGAATTATAAAATACACAGCAAGCTTGATTTGACAAAACAGCTTCCAGAATCTCTCCCAGTTCAGTGCTGGATTCGGCTAAAATCTCCTCAAAGCAGAAGCTGTGAACTACAACCTGTATGTGTTTTTATTTGTTAAAATTGATCATGACATGTTCAGTGTCTACTGTTAACAGTAAGCTGTAGCAACGATTTAAACAATGGGAAATGCTGTTTTGCACCTCAAACGATTTAGCTACAAATTCATATTTATCAGTCAAACTGCTGTAAACACACACACACACACACACACACACACACACTTCTCAAACAGCCTCTCTCTCAATGTGTGTGCGCGACTTTGCATTGTTTCTCTTTAGGCAGCTTTTCCATGCATTTTACATCTCAGATAATGAAGCTGCAAAAGATTTGTGGATGATTTATATTACTTACACCTGCATATTCCGGATATACGTGAAAAATGTTGTGTAACACGTTGAGTAAAAAAAAATTCAGGAGAGCTTACCTGACTCGTGGTAGCAGCAGAAAAATAAATCAAGGCTCACACAAGTCTCATCCCACATCTTGTGCTTTATTCTTCTGTCACGATATCTCACAGAAAATAACTTAATTCGAGCATCAGAGAAAAAGAAAGTCCAGCGCACATGCGCTTGTTACAGAAAGTTCACACATTCACACACACACGCAATATCGATCTCTCTTAAAGGAGCCGCACCCCATTTTCACTCGTTACAGACACTTGTCAGATTTTATTTTAGAGAGCAGGCAGGAGGTTGACTGGCTGTTTACACAGCAGAAAAGCATGTGCTTGTATGGGCGTGACGTGGAGCTGATCCGCGAATCGCAGCACATTATGACGATAACCGATCAGAGTCACTTGAGGGCGGGCCTTTCAGAGGAACTAGGAAATATATCAGTCGTTTTCATGTTAGCTGAGTAGCTGTGTATAATTAAAGTTAGACTTATGAAAAAATAACATGATTTCCTTCAAGTGAAACATGAGCACACATTGCTTTTGCATCTTATAAACACAACCAAGCCTTAAAATTACATTCTGGACCACCCCTTTAATAAAAGCCGCCCTGATGAACAGAATCATTTAAAAAAAATGGCCCCAAACGATTGACCGGTAGTGTATGTTTCAGCACTTACTGGAGATGCTCATATTTGTTTTGCAGCGTAATGTGATGGCCTCAGGCGTTGTTCCTCAGATCTCTCTCATCATGGGTCCGTGCGCAGGTGGAGCTGTCTATTCACCTGCTCTCACAGATTTCACTTTCATGGTGAAGGTAAAGCAGTTCTAAGTCTTTCCTGTCACATTCATGTTCCATTATTGTTGTAGGTTGTCAGCTGATGCACATTTTTTACCTGTGTTTGCAGGACACGTCCTACCTTTTTATCACAGGCCCAGATGTGGTAAAGTCTGTTACAAATGAAGATGTTACCCAGGAGGAGCTTGGAGGAGCAAAAACCCACACAGCTGTGTCAGGTACGCCTGTTGGTAGCAGAGCTGGATAATAATGGGTTATATGTAATCAGCAGGGTTCATACAATCATGAAAAACCTGGAAAAGTCATTGAATTTTAACATCGCATTCTCCAGACCTGGAAAAGTTTGGAACAAACAAACCATTTAAGTTTTAGAAAGTTGTGGAAATTTGTTTAACATAAATCTATACTTGCATATTTTTCCAGTAGAAATTAAATTATATTGTTCTATCATAATGCTATTGTTTTGTGTCCAAATTATGCTTAGTTAGTTGTTGCAGCCTCTTTACTTCTCCATTCGTGGCCAATCGCATGTTCTCACATAATTTAGCAAAGTCTTGTGTGAGCATTATCTAAATAAATTTGATTAGTATTATAAATTACATGGATTGTCATGTATTTGACTATATGTTGTAATAAACATGCATTTCTTATTTAATATGAATACATAGACATTACATGAAACATTATGTCATGAATATTTTCCTGCAAGTCTTGGAAAAGTTAAGGAATTTTTGCAGGGAAAATGTGTACAAACCCTGAGTCTGGATTGCGCAAAAAAGTGCTCGTAATTAAACAGCTTTTTTAAATACTAGTAATCCGACTTCTACATTTTATGGATTACATATTATTTATTTACACAATGCCAATAAGTTGTTTTTTCTGTATTTTCTCTTATTCTCTCTCTCAAATTTTTAGATCAAATATTTGATATAGCAGCAATATTACGAATTCTATTTTTTCCAATATTGATTTTTGTAATGTTTTATAATTTACTTGATTTTAAGCTAGGCATATTAATTTTAGTATTTTTAAATGTTACCTGACCACACAAAGCTCCTCAACAGCTCTTCCTTTTGTTTGTAATAAAGAGTGGAATATTTTTTATCCTTTTTATCTGTCGATATGGTACAGGATTATTTCATTTAAATATACGTTACATTAAATGGGGGTTAGAACAAAAGTAATCTAAATGTAATCCAATTACATAACTAGAAATGTGTGATCTATGATTTTACTGACTACTAATTTTGTCATGTAATTCATAAATGCAATTCATGGTAACACTTTATTTTGATGGTCCCTATCGCACATTTTGTTGACTAAAAGTTGCATTATTTTGATGGTCCCTATCGCACATTTTGTTGACTAAAAGTTGCATTGCAACCTTATGCCAATTACTTCTCATTTGAGAATTAGTAGACTGTCTGCTTAATATCTGCTGATACTGCTCCTTCAAGACATTTAACTGACTATATGAAACTTAGCAAGTACTTGTCAACATGTCACTAACTCTAACCACAACCTAAGTCTACCTATAATCTATTTAGAATTAGTTGGCATGTAGATGCAATGCAACAAAATATGGTAAAGGGACCATCAAGTAATACCCAATTCATAAGTAATCCACCTAGATCTGGTTGTTAATCCTGTCTAAGAGTTAAATGATGAGTAAGATTTTAAGTATGTTATTCGATGCAAAAAAAAAAAATCAAAGAAACAAATTTTTTGAACAGAAAATGTTTTGTCAAATATGCTTATTTTCAAACCCCTAGATATATCTGTACATGTTTTATGCCCACTTAAAGCATTTTAAACAGTTTTTATTTGATCTTAAATGTAAATATTCCTCTTTTTTTCAGGTGTTGCTCATCGGGCCTTTGAGAATGACATTGATGCCCTTTTGAACTTGCGAGACTTTTTCAACTTTCTTCCACTTAGTAATAAAGATTCAGCTCCAGTTGTTGAGTGCCATGACCCTCGGTGAGAAGCCACATTTCTATTTTAATTAGTCTTATCACTCGATTTATCTTGACCAAGTTTTTCTATTATTATCCTGTCTTTATTTTTTCCCCTCAGAGACCGGCTGGTTCCTGGTTTGGATACTGTTGTTCCTTTTGAAAGCACAAAGGCCTATGACATGTTGGATATTGTTCATGGTGTACGTAAATTTTACCACAGATGGTTCAGATAGTTAAAAACTCTTCTCACCGTTTCACTCTCATGTCACCCCTTCAGATAGTAGACGAGAGGGAATTCTTTGAAATTATGCCCAACTACGCCAAAAATATTGTGGTGGGGTTTGCCAGGATGAATGGCCGGACGGTGGGCATAGTAGGAAACCAACCAAAAGTGGCGTCTGGTGGGTAACTTTATGATTATACAGTTTTTAAAAAAATCGCATTTACTTTTTATGTGTTTTGATACTTGGCAGGTTTGTTTGATTACAACTCTGGTGTAATTGTTTTCATTAACAAAGTATATTTGTCATCTGAGCCTCTGTGTAGACCAAACAAAGCAAAAACAGAGCATAATGTCCCAAGATGCAGCCATTTTGTTTTTGTTCCCACTAAACAAACCAAGAGAACTAAAACAACTGAGAACACAAACTGAATTATTTTTGGCAATCTTTATGGTGCTACTAAATATTGTAAACCTTCTGCGCATCACATAATCCTGGAAAAAACATTGCTTCCTCAATGTTATAGCACATTTCTGATTTGTTAACTTAAAGGGGTAGTTCACCCAAAAATGAAAAATAACTCTCAAACAATTGGTTCAGAACCTTTGAACTTTTTCTTCTGAACACTAAATAAGATATTTTGAAGAAAGCTGAAAACCTGTAACCAATTACTAGTTTTCAGCTTTCTTCAAAATATGCTCTTTTGTGTTTATCAGAAAAACAAAAAGTCAAATGGGTTTGGAACAAGTGAAGGGAGAGTAAATTGCAGAATTTCTGAACTATCCCTTTAAGACTGGAATAATGGCTATGGCGTTAATTGCTTTACCATTTAGAGAATTAAATGCATGATAACATCAATTAAAATAGGAATATTTGAAGTTGTAATGATGTTTTACAGTATTACTGTTTTACTGTATTATTTATTTAAATTAATGCCACATTTGTTTGCATTATATAATTTTATTTAAAAGCAAACTGCTGTATTTTAATGCATATAATACAGTATGTAAAACATTACATCTTTTTTAAGTTTTTCTTTCTGTATTTCAGGCTGTTTGGACATAAATTCATCTGTTAAAGGTGCTCGCTTTGTACGATTCTGTGACGCCTTCAACATTCCCATCATCACATTTGTGGATGTGCCTGGATTTCTGCCAGGTGTCCAAAGATTTCTTTTTCTAACCTCACCTATGTTTTTAATTTTTTTAATCTATTTACTTTAAAAATAAAATAACTAAAGAATAATAAAATTGTTTCTACAGGCACAGCTCAAGAGTACGGCGGCATCATCAGACATGGAGCCAAGCTGCTGTATGCTTTTGCAGAAGCAACGGTTCCAAAAATCACTGTCATCACTAGGAAGGTAAGAGACAAGATGTTGTGTGTGTGGTTGTTACTGGCTTGTTTGCTGAACCCTGTGTGTATGTGTCTTCACTCCAGGCTTACGGAGGTGCTTATGATGTGATGAGCTCCAAACATTTGAGAGGAGACGTGAACTACGCCTGGCCAACTGCTGAGGTCGCAGTGATGGGTGCAAAGGTAAACTTCTGCACTAAGGAGCTGAAGTGTGTGCGCCACTTACAGTATTGCATTTGATTTATGGGGCTTTCTAGTAAAATTAATTTCTTGGTAAAATTAATTATTGATTCTAATTTGATGTTGACAATAATGTTGTCATATTTCACAATAGGTTACAAGTACATGGATTATATTTTGTGTTGTTTTTCTATCAATCTTGATTTCTCACAATTTGAATGCACAAACACCAACAGTCAACGTCAGGATTTTCATTAAATGTGAATCTAATTTTGGCTTCTTTTCATTATATGTGCATACACACACATACATACATACATACATGCATGCATACATACATACATACATACATGTGTATATATAGATAAACATTTAATATTAATAAAGCACCCAAAAATGAAAAACTTACTACCATTTTATCAAACCATTTACTCACCCTCTAGTGGTTCCAAACCTATAAGATATAAGTTTATTTTTTTGTTGAACACAAAAAAGATAAATTGAGAATGTTGCTAACCAGTAAATACTTTTATTTTAAGTCAGTGGCGTTCGGTTATTATCATTCTTTAATATATGTTCCTTTGTGTTATAATATACCTCCTCTTTGTGAAGGTGAAAAATAGTGGTAATTTCTGTAAATTTCCTTTTTGATGAACTGTTGCTTTTAGAAAATGCTGGTCCTGTAAGCAGAAAGTTAGATGTGAGAGCAGTATATCTATGTACAGGAGCTCAGTGAACGCTGATATTCACTTACACTGCAGTAATGATCAGTATGCTTGGCTCCATCTGGTGTTAATGCTGCTTGTAACCGTCACTCCTGCTCCTTTCATTCCTTTGCTGGAGCTCAGCCTGTAAGTCTGGAAACTGCTGACTCGGGTCATGCTGGTTGTTTAAAATACAAACTGTAAATATTTGGTTGGGTGTCCATTAATGACACTAAAACAACATATTGCTATGCCATGTAAAAAGTACACTTGGTATAAAGTGTATAGTTGACACTAAGCCTTTTTAAAGTATACTTCATGTTCACATATGCTATCAAATAAAGTGATAAATATGTTAATTTAAACATTCTCACTCCCTCACGTAAGCACTTTTCAGTATTGACCTCTATTGTTTTTTTGCTGTCTTCAGTGGTTTGTTTGTTTTCAGTCTCAATTTCTTTTTGAACTGTTAATCAGTGTGGGTCTGCTTCTGTTGACACCTTGTGGACAAAAGAAGTAGTGCACAAAGTAAATGTGTTGTAGATGTGGTCTTAAAATGGTATGTGGCCACTAACATGAGCATAAAGATCAAATTGATCAAAAATGACAAAACAAGTTTAACAAAAATTATATTACAATTAAATTTAAAGTTTCTAAAAATTAAAAATGTTTCATGGTGGATCATGGCACAACTATTTTCAACTTTGCTAATTAAATAGTTCTTGACCAGCGTATTAGATTTGTAAAGTATCATGGCACATGTAATGATGCTATAAAGTCGCCCTTGCTATCACTGGAATAAATAACATATTCAAATATATTGAATAAAGTTATTTAAAATTATAAAAACATTTTAAAATATTATTATTTTTTGGTTAATGTATTTTGGAATCATGTGTTTGATAAATGCAGCCTAGGTAAACATTTAAAAAAAAAAATAAAAAAACTATGTAATTGAATGTGTATTTTAAAATATTAGAAATTATAGTTAATATTTAGTATTTATTATTATCATTATTATTCTAAAGGATCGCGTCACTATAATGATGCTGAAAATTCATCTTTGCTATCACTGGAATAAATAACATTTTAAAATATATTGAAGTAAAAAAGTTATTTAAACTTCTAAAATTATTTCACAATATAATTTCCTTTTTTGGTAATGTATCTTGCAATCATGCATTGTTAATAAATGCAGCTTGGGTGAGCATAATCACTCAAAAATAAAATGAAATAATTAAACTAACATTTGAATAAAAACAATTATCATTTAAATGATATTTTAACATTTTGGAAATTATATTGAATTAGTTAATATTTAGTGTTCATTATTATCATTATTACATATTAAAACATTTTTATAAATTCAAAAACAGGACAAATCCTGTAAACTGGCCAAAGAGTGAAAAACTTTAAAGCTGCCTTTTTTCCCTTCTTCAAGGGTGCTGTTCAAATCATCTTCAGAGGAAAGCAGAACCAAGCGGAGGCTGAAGCTGAATATGTGGAGAAGTTTGCCAATCCCTTCCCTGCTGCTGTCAGAGGTGCACAAAAACACACATTCATCATTACAGCTCTTTCTCAACAAGTTCGCCGATGTCTGTTCTCTCTAAATCAACGGTCTCAAATGCAGTTTTTGGAGGGCAGCAGCTCTGCATAGTTTAGCTCCAACCAGCTCCAACTCACACCTGCTTAATAGTAGTCTTGAACACTTTGATTAGTTAGATCAGCTGTGTCTGATTAGGGTTGGAGCAAAACTATGCAGAGCTGTGGCCCTCCGGGAATCGAGTTTGAGAACTATGCTCTAAATATTGTTTCATGTGTTTCGCAGGCTTTGTGGATGACATCATTCAGCCCTCCACCACCCGCAGGAGGATATGCAGAGACCTGGAGGTCCTGGCCAGCAAGAAACAGACCAACCCCTGGAAGAAACATGCTAACATTCCCTTGTAAATCTCACTAGAACACTAGCTTTAGAGCAGGGGTGCCCAAACTCAGTCCTGGAGGACCGATGTCCTGCAGAGTTTAGTTCCAACCCCAATTAGACACAACTGAATCAGCTAATCAAGCTCTTTCTAGGTATACTAGAAACTTCCAGGCAGGTGTGTTGAAAGAAGGTGGAGCTAAACTATGCTGGACACCGGCCCTCTAGGATCGAGTTTGGGCACCCCTGCTTTAGAGCATTTCACAACAGCATCTGTGGTTAGACTAGAGAAAACATCATGATTTCACATGGTTCCTTGTGCCTTATTCCCGTCCGTATGCATTATTTAAACATTCTCCAATCAATAAAACACTCCCACGGTTCATGATTACACATTTAATTTTTTGTCTTTTTCTGAAAAAGTGAGTCGTCCATAAGTTCACCGAAGAAAAGTTTTAGAACAGTTTTCCATTAAAAGGGAAAGTGGTACATCATTTCTAGGTTGTACAAAAAGAAAACCCATTTCATATTGAAAATGTACAATTTACAGGAACACTAGCAAAACTAAGCGAGGCTCGGGATGGGAAGTCAAGAGCATCATGGGAAACTTGTGTTGTCGACGGTGTAACGTTTCACTTTTGAAGAGCACAGGACCATAGAGCACTGAAACGGGCCTCTGCAGTTTGATCCACACAAAAACACCCTGCTGTTTAGACGTTTCACACAAATAAACCTCACCTTATTAGAACTAAATCTACTGGAAATCAAATACTGACCATTCAAATGTTTCTGCAAGCCAAAATTACACAACATGTAATGGAACGCACCTTCGGGACAATTGTGTCATTGAGATTTTTGGCTCTCTATCTCATTTCTGACAATAATCACTGCATTTTTAAAGGCCTGTTCACACCACGAACCACAACTATGAAGATAACAATAAAAATATAGTAGTGTCCATGAATAAATCTTTTTAAAGTTTGCAAATATAGTGTTTCCATCTAGTTGTTAGAGCAGCTGACTGTAGTAGTGTTGGTGACCCAGTAACCAGTGGTAAACAAGCCAAGCATAATGGAGCCGGCTGATTAGTGTATATTCGGCAAATGTGTTTCCATCTCCCATTATCCGTATTAAACCTTGTTTTCTGCAGTCCAAAAACCATATCAATTGATTTTGTGAATTAAGCGATTTTTATTTAAAATGTGCCGTTTCCATCATTGTTTCTCAAGATACTTCAAAATAATACAGGGTGATGAAAACCCAGCAACTGATTCATGATAACGTTTTGTCTATTAACTTGCGTGTTTCAGCAAAGCAATGTAAACTTTAAACTGCTTTATAAGAGCCGACACCATTTTTGTTGGAAATAGTTTTCTTTTATGGATTTTAGAAAGTCACAATTTTGCCATTTCTAAATTTAAGGCCCTAAAAAAATTAATAGTTTATCAATAATAGTTACAAATACAAATACTTTAAATTTTAAAGAAATATGTCTAAAGTTTCTTAAATCAAGACATTTTCATGGGAACAAAAAAATAAATAAATGCTGTTAAAAGCCTAAAAGTCTTGCTTCCAGTAAAACTGATTAATGAAATGGTTACAATAAGAACACATATCTGTTAATGAAATTTAGTTGATTTTCTAAGCTTACTAACAGATATGTGTCTTATTTTAACCATTTCATTAATCAGTTTTACTGGAAAAAATGACAAGAATCTTTACATGTAGACATTTTTAATGGAAACGTGTCAAAAATACTTAATAAAAACATGGTAAAAGTCATTTCCTTTTTTAGTGTATAGAATCAGAGTTAGTCTTTATATGTAAAAATAGTGATGTGAACTGAAGCTTTCTAAACCAGTGAACCATTCGACTCGGAAAAAGATTTGTAACTCGAAGCTTTCTAAATCAGAGCTCGACGAGGACCTCTGCTGGTTAAAGTTTGGGAAAGCACTGTGTTGCAAAAATGTCAAATGTTCACAACTGACCAACTCATTCACGTGTAATACAACAGTAGTATAAACAAATTACTCAGATACTATAGTTTTTTTTTTACATATAAGTTATTTACATTACACCACAGATGACTGTATTTAAATCCAAGGTATTCAAAAGTATTTATGTTTATCATGTTAACATTAACTCATTCCCAAGGGAGATCGAACCGGCGATTCCTGTATGGGAGGCCAATGCTGTAAGGAGGAGGCTGTCAGAGTGATGCTTATAGACTGCTACTACTATACTACAATATGCAGTGGCCTTCTTTAAAAATAGTTGTAAATAATACACTTTAGTATTGTCCAAAAGCTTTTTACTATAAATTACTATTGTATTTTAGTTGAATAACTGCAGTGCTTTGAAACAGTAGAAATGTATGTAATCGGTGCCTAATCTCTCGCTATACACTTTACTAACCCACGAGGGTGTTAATACTTTTGAATTAAAATTCGAAGCATAAACCTGGGTATAGGTGAAAATGAAGTTTCGGACACCACTGATCACATGATTATGGCAAAACGAATCAAGCTTCGATACACTGCTTCACTGCGAGATGTATAATGTTTTTGATACATGCTTCAAAGCCTCGGTCCACAACGTCACGTCAGTATGTAAAAAAAAAAATTCAAAAGTAACAGATCTGTACATAGTAGTGTTTTTTTATATGAAGTGTTGCTAATACAGCTGATACATACCTCGGAGAACATACTGCGTTCCCTTCGGATTTAATATACAATATTCTTTAATTTGTCTTCTAAAAAGTAGTAAATTGCTCTTCATAAAACCTGTATCAATCTCTGTTTTAATCCCTCACTTGCTAGAATAAAATAGCTTTGAGGCAATTACAACAATATTGTTTGTCTTCTATATTCATAACAGCTGATGTGACGTGCCTGCTATTGTCTTATGCTTAACTATTTTTAAACCCTTATATTTATTATTATCATCATAATTATCATCTGTGGTGTGAACAGGCCCCAACACTTACCAAACGTAACACACTTAACCAGAATTATGGCTATTGAATACTACTGGGCGTTGTGTAAATTTAGACCATCTGAAGATCGATCGACATTTACTACTGGTGGTTTTGTTGGACATAGTTAAAGCGACGACTTCATAATCTAACTGTACAGGGCTTCTACATAGTAGGATGGATAAACACAAATATGTACATCTTAAACATATGGGAGCGTACATTCTTACATCATAAATCTGTACCACGACGTAAATCCCATTCAGTGCCATTCAGATAAGCTGATGAAGACGGAACATTTTACCATACGTGACTTGATGGGACTGCATCTGGGTGGGGAAAAAACTCCTTTGATGTGGTGCTTGATGAAAGAGGATAATTGAGAGTTTGTGGAGAGTTTAATCCAGAGTCACTGAACCTGGACATCAGTGCTTCCTCCTCTTTGTGAATGTCTCTTCAGCCCTTGCTTTAATCAAACCAAATGCTCCTCTCTTCCATTTGTTGTGGCACCTCAGAACATGGGCATCGTGAATCCCTGAGAAAAAAAAACAAAAACAATTACAGGTGATTCACTTTTAGGAACTTGTAGCTGCATTTAATTCTCGATTAAAACCCAACTATGATTTATCAGATGAATGTGATTTGAGAGGAGAGTTTTGGAAAGCTTCTTGTTAGCAGGGCTGAAAAATTTGATGATTATGAATCTATTTGACTAATTCCCACTAACAATGTGTCTATCCATTCATTTTTATGCACATTCTGGTGTATCGCATAAAAATGCTTAATGGAAAAGCCAAGATGTGCGTAAACTTTGAAATTGTGCATTAAAAAAAAAGTAAACGCACAACTGAGTAGGATCCCCTTTTTATTTGCTAAGAAAAAATGTTCACAAACAACCATGGAAACAAATTTACTAAGTTCCAGTATCAGAAAAAGTCATGTTTGAACAAAAATGGGTGCAATGAGATGGTATCAATGGACAAACCAGTGGACCGACTGCATTATAATGGATCTGAAATGTTGTTTTGGTCATCTTAAAATCTTTAAACCAAAGATCCTGATTCTTACCGACTCATCCTCAATCATGGCTGCAGAGTCAAAGAAGTCTGGTCTGAGTTCTGCTCTCTCTCGCCGGTTCCTGGATGGAGGCTGCAGAGGATTTAACATAATCTGAGATTACCATTCATGCAGAAACAACCTAAAGTCTGACTAAAAACATCTCAATTATGTAGTTTTTTAATTTTATTATTATTATTTTTTTTGAGGACGCTTAAAGTGATAATTCCTCCAAACTGATGGACATAACAAGCGATAATAACATGTTCATGCAACACTGTAATTTGTTTAGATAGAAGATACCAATAAGAATATTATGTTCGTGCAGCATGCCATAAATTGAATCAACAGATAAGAAGCGATTATGTGAGCAGCAATATATTATGCTGCTATTTCTAATATGGCACTCAAAACGGTTTCTGTTTGTTGCGTTGGTCACAAAAACCCAGTCCTCAGCCCTTGGTTCCTAATTTCCTGGTTTAGAGCCAGTGCTTTGGGTGTCAAAATACAAAGAACTGATTTGAAACAAGTCTTCAGCTCTGAACCAGCACCTAAACTGGTGTGGTGGAATAGGACCACAGTGCATCCGAAAATTATTGATAGCACTTCACTTTTTCCACATTTTTCATGTTACAGCTTTATTCCAAAATGGATTCAAAATTATTTATTTCCTCTAAATTCTACACACAATACCCTATAATAACTATGTGAAATTATTATTTTTTTAATGGTTGCAAATTTATTAAAAGTTAAAAAAAGCTGAAAAATCACATGTACAGAAGTATTCACAACCTTTGCTAAATTATGCTCAGGTACATTCTGTTTCCACTGATCATTCTTGAGATAATTCAGCAGCTCAACAGTTCCTGTGGTCAATTCAGTTGATTGGACATGATTTGAAAAGGCATACACCTGTCTATATAAGGTCCCAGGGTTGACAGTGCACGTCAAAGCACAAACCAAGCATGAAGACAAAGGAATTGTCTGTAGACCTCCGAGACTAGATTGTCTCGAGGCACAAGGATGAGGAAGGTTATAGAAAAAACTCTGCTGCTCTGGAAGACCCACTAAGACTCTTCCTATAGCTGGCAAGTGATCAAGGGAAAGGAGCCTTAGTAAAGGAGGTGATCAATAACCCGATGGTCACTCTGATCTGTGCTCCAGCATTCTTCTATGGAGACAGGAGAACCTTACAGAAGGACAACCATCTGTGCAGCAATCCACCAATCAGGCCTGTATGGTAGAATGGCCAGACGGAAGCCACTCCCCACCTGGAGTTTGCCAAAAGGCATCTGAAGAACTCTCAGACCATAAGAAACAAAATTCTCTGGTCTGATGAGACTAAAATTGAACTCTTAGGAGTGAATGCCAGGCATTACGCTTGGAGAAAACCATGCACTGCTCATCAACAGCCTAATACCATCCCTAGAGTGAAGCATGGTGGTGGCAGCATTATGCTGTGGGGATGTTTTTCAGCAGCAGGAACTGGAAGACTAGTCAGGACAGAGGGAAAGATGAATGCAGCAATGTACAGAGACACCCTGAATGAAAACCTGCTTCAGAGTGCTCTTGACCTCAGACTGGGGCAACAGTTCATCATCCAGCAGGACAATGACCCAAAGCACACCGCCAAAATTTCAATGGAGTGGCTTCACAACAATTCGGTGAATGTCCTTGAGTGGCACAGCCAGAGGCCAGACCTAAATCCTATTGAACATCTTGAGATCTGAAAATGGCTGTACACCATCGCTTCCCATCCAACCTGATACTGCAAAAAATTCTAAAAGACAGGTGTGCCAAAGGTGCTTCAACAAAGTACTGAGCAAAGGCTGTGAATACTTCTGTACAAATTATTTTTCAGTTTTTTTATTTTTAATAAATTTACAATTTAAAAAAAAAATTTATTATGGAGTAATGTGTGTAGAATGTTATGGAAATGAAACCATTTTGGAATAAGGCTGTAACATAAAAAAATTTGGAAATGTGGAAAAAGTGAAGCGCTAAGAATACTTTCTGGATGCACTGTATACGTGTATGGAAGCTTAAGATTGTTGAGGCTGAGATATTAAAACTGTAGATAATCTTCACTTTCTAGCACAGACCAATCATTTCATTTCCTTACACATAAGTGTTTCGTCCAGAGCCACAGGTACTTATTTTATTTTGTATTGTTTTATTTTATTTTACCACTATTGATGTCTTAGTAGCCCCTGACATAATTTATTTTATTTAGTTGTTAACTGTCTCTTTAAGCAGACAGTTTGGTTGTCACCAGCCAATCGGTTTAGTTCTTACCAGATCGATGACCATGGTGTCCTCAAACTCCTCACTCATGTCCTCCAGCTGTCCTCGAGACGACATCATGACGTCCTCAAAGATGGGCTCTGCGTCGTCCTCCATTAGCCCACGTCTAGATCACACAAACCAAAACAGCATTAGCTTCACCAAATTCCTCATGTCAAACATTCCACACACTGGTGTCTCCACGTACACAGTCTGTCGCACTCCTCCACTGCGGGCCTTTATGTAGCTCATGGCCGTCCGCTCCTTCCTGTTCACCTCCTCCATCTTCTGCTGGCCGAGCCACGACATCTGCATCTGAGGACTGACCAAGTGGAAAAACACTTTATGCTCTGCAAATAATAACTGACTGATATCTTACAACCACTCAATGTCACTGTTAACTGAAACTGGTCCATTAACATCCGTGTTTTCACTGTTATGTGGTAGGGGGCGCTATTATGCATCTGAAATAATAGAGTCTCAAAAACAAGCAAAGATGCAGCAAGATAAACAAATTACTTTATTTAATGTTTCGCATTAATTTGTATTCTTTTTTCATGTGCACACTCTTATCTAAAAAATTAAGTTCTTAAATTTCAGATGTTCAATAATCAAGTTAAGAAATTCCAATTTAAGTTAAGAAATTCAAATTCGAAGCATTTTTTATTGCATATAATCAGTTTTATTAACTTGCAATTTTTAATAATTCTATTTCAACAAAATTTAAATTCAGATTGTTTTGGCATATTATTAGCTCCATAAATGCATACATGCGGTGAACATTTTGCAATGAAAATGGTTGCATGCGGTACAGGTGAATTGGGTAAGCTAAAATTTTCCCTAGTGTATGTGTGTGAGTGAGAGTGAATAGGTGTTTGCCAGTAATGGGTTGCAGCTGAAAAGGCATGTGCTGCGTAAAACATATGCTGGATAAGTTGGCGTTTCATTACGTTGTGGCGACCCCTGATTAATAAAGGGACTAAGCCGAAAATGAATGAATGAATGAGTAGTATAGACAAAAAGGACAAATTACAAAAATTTTTAACAAAATAATAAATAATCCAAATGTATTAAGAACAAGGTTAACACAAGTCATGCAACTAGCAAAAAAAAAAAAAATATATATATATATAATTTCAAATGTTTCGGACACTTTTCAAATACATTACTTAAACATCTCTCTCAATGAAAATGTGCATTTACATAAACAAAATGTCACTGGACTAACAATAAAAGGCATAATGGTGGTTCTAAACATTTCAACATATACAGTAACTAAATGACTAAATAATGAATTTCTGAAATAATTAAAAAATTGTATATTAGAATTTACTTTAAAAAGACTGTCTTTAATTTAATTTCTAAATAATACTTAAAAGGCAAATACAGCAACACACAGCACAGAATAACTTTCCATTAATGTTGAAGGTTTTGATATGTCATGCAAACTTCAAGAGATGAGTTTCAGCACTTACTTATGAACATAGTCCGACTCTGAGCCGGGCTCAGTGTCCTGCTCAGGCAGGTGTTCAGCAGCTTGTCGAGGGTTTTCGCGGAGCACAGTTGAGGTGAGCTGTGGCGTCTGCAGGCCTCCAGGGGTCTGAATGCTGTCATTCCTCATCATCCAAGAGCCCTCCATGCTCTCCTCTACAAAAACAACACAACACACACAAAACAAAGACCATGCCTATGAATCCTGCGGTCCTTTACTCTTATTCTCGCATGGCTAAAAAAAGTTAAAGTACAAATACTGAGTGGACATTTTACTCAGTTAAAGGTGCAAATGTCAAGTATCTGAAAATATATTTGTGTTAAAAAAAGTACAGCTTTTTACAAAAATAAAAATAAAAGAGGAAAGTTTTGTTTTATAATATATTATTATACTCAAATGTAAAGTAAATTTAATATTTTAATATGTCAGACAGATATAAATCGTTAAATGGGGATATATATTTATTGACATTTATTTACATTAAATAAATAAATATATTATTGGCTCTTGCATATACATTTTGCACAGGTGCAGAAGTTTCATGCTGTGCCAACTAAACATTGTTTTCTATGAGTGTACTGTACTAAAGTGTGTTCTATAGTCTTTTACTTTACACCCACCAGCATCCCCATTCAGCATTCCTCCACGTCATTACGCAACGAATAGAAAACAATATAATGTCCAATCAAATGCAGCCTGGGGCATGCATATTATTGATCCTGTGTGTGCAATGTAACAGTCTTTGTTTTGTTCCGATTGGCCTGATTTTCACTGAGATTTAACACACTCATTGCATTGACATGAGAACAAAGAAACAATGGTGTTTGAGGCAAACAGTATGTCATTTCAATGCACTGAACTCTATTCAGCTATATATACCTAGGTATACCCAGATTTTCACCATATGGCACATGAAAAAAATTTGCAACTGAAGTGTACCATTTCTTCCTCCAAATAGCATAGTAATCAAATAAAATGACTCAAATATTTTACACCTGTGTATGTCAGCATGAGTATGGGTGGTGTCGTGCTAACCCTCAATGCGTTTCTTGTGCAGTGGCGGTCGGCCCTTCTTGCTGCGTATGGATCCAGCTTTGCTACTGCTGCTGCCGCTGGTGATGGACATGCGATCTTCATCTCCACCCGTCAGCAGAGAGTTCCTGTAGGAGATGAGTGGAAGCCAGATGTCCTCCCGCCGCTCCATCATCTGCTCCGTCATGAACTTCTCCAGATATGCATGTCTGCAGAGCCAAACACAAACATAAATGTCTATGCCTCACTTTGTCCAGCAAGTGAAAAAGTTTTTTAAAGGTCTTGTGAAATTAAAAGAAAAAAATTAGATGTGAGTTTCAGTTTGTTAGTTTAAAAGATATCTATTAGCTAGTGTGCTTCAATACTATGACAAAATTCGTGTTTAGAAGATAGAAAACTGATACAAACATCCAAAGCTTTCAGTTTGTCACTTCAGCCCAAACAGATTACCGATTTTTTACACATCACTTCATACTACATTTTCTCATTAATTATTGAGCAATGCTCTCTAGTAACTGACATGCCCCGCCCCTTTCAAGACACTTTTCATTTGGTGCACTTAATCTCAACCACTAACTGGCTGAGCTTAGATAAAAACTAAATGCTATTGGCTGTTTTTTATAAGGAGAGGAGCCACTATATGTCCCACCCTTTCTTCATTTTTAGTTGAGATTACATCAAACATCAAATAAAAAATGCACAGCCAATAAAATCTTTTTGGCTGGAGACTTCCGGTCCTATTCACTTCCACGTTAAAAACAGCTTGTTCTGCTGCTTGATGTTGCAAACGGATCTTTTTAAAGAGCCCATATTATGGGTTTTTGAAAATGCCCCTCCATGTAGTTTGTAACACAGCTCTAAGTGAAGTGAAGTATCCAGCTAAGGCTTAAATCTGTAAGAATACAGTGTTTAAAATAGTTGATTTATCTATAAAAGAGTCGACTCATAGTGCTTCAAACGAGTCGCCTTGATACCGAGTCATTAGGTGTTTCGCCATGACGTACGAACGAAACCAAGTTATTCACGTGCACGCGCAAACCCGGGAGATTTCAAACCTGCGGCCCCGCCCTCTGACATAGAAACCCAGACACACACACACACACAAACATGCCGGTCGATTGAAGTCACACTGCAGATGGACATTATCGATTCTCTACCCAGAGATGAAACCTCAGCATTATAGCCAAGCAGTTGGAAACTACTGGAAACTTCTGCAAACTACATGCTACAAAGAATACTTCATCAGCATTTGTTAAAGGAAGGATTAGTAAAGAGTAACTTACTGATGGACGTCAGGATGGGTTTCTTCCTCCATTTCTCAACTGTAAGTACGTGCGATTAAAGTTGTGGCCTCGTTTACTCTAGCTTGCAAATGTATTTAGTTGTGACTTGTTACTTGTAACCGCGTGTACTGTATGAGGTTAACTCGCTTTATTCTCATATCGGGTGCAAAGCCACGTTTAAAACTTGACGCGTGCTGCTTTGTTTACGGAGCTCCGTGGAGGAGGAGGAGTGTGTATGTCTGTGTGTGCGTGTGTGTGTGCGTGTGCGCGCGCTGTCATCCGGAGATGTGTGTGTTTGTGTGTGTGTGTATGCGCGCGCGTTGTCGTCCGGAGTAGGGTTAAGTGTGTGTGTGCGTGTGTGCGTGTGTGTGTCTGTGCAATATGTGTGTGTGTGTCTGTGAAAAGAGCAGAGACAAGCTAGAAGATCTCCTCAACTGTTTTTGGAGTTTTTGCTCAATAAAATAGATAGACGTCTGTATTGTCAAGTCCATAGTCTGTATTTACATTGACCCACTGGCAGCTAAAATCCACGCCTACACTATCGAGCGTGTATGAACTGTGATTACTTTTATATTGCTGATTAGCTGTTGGGCATTTCACTCTCTCACTAAAGGCCGTCGACCAATCGCAACAGACTGTCATCGGTCCAATCAGCGCAGATTAGCTTCGCGCTAAGGAGGGGTTTGGGAACAAATGAATCACTGAACGATTCATACAGGAGTCGCTGGAATAATTAGGTAAAAATAAATGCAGATTATAAGACCATGAAAGTGTTTTTTGACCTTGCATGCATATTAAACTGTTGTTGGAGACCCTTACAACCAAGATATGACCCTATTTCATGTATAATATGGGCTCTTTAAATTACATTTTTCTACTTTATCTGTATAGACATGAACACACTTGTTTGTAGAGCAAGTAGTTTGACTGTTTTCTGCCGTTTATTATTCCTAGTCAGTTCTCTCATAGGCAACTGAATCAGAAGTTCTAAAACAATCCCAAAAGCAAGCAAACTTCTCATTTAAAGAATAAGGTCAGTAGAGACAGGAAAGTGTGGGCAGCAGGGAGAGGGGAACAGGATAGGCAAAAGACCTCAAACTGGGAATCAAACCCTGGTCACCGTGAGTAGGGTGGGTTTGGGTCAAAATTGATTAAAATTACAAAATGTTAAAAATGGTCAAAATGAGCCTCCTTACTTTTAGAGTTAAGCCTACCTTTGACAATTAAAGTGCTTTGTAGAGCAACTTACACTGTTTTCTTGTCTTGACGAAGAAGCTTGGAAGAAAATTCACAGAGAACCTCAAGGAAGGCCAGATTGGGAGGAGGATACTCTGCTCCTTTTGGATTCTGGTACTTGAAGGCAAACTCAATCCCATCTCTGAAAATGACAAGAAACATACATAAGGGGTAGAATGAAGAAGGGGAGGTCTTTATGTTGTATGACTATTAATAGCACAAGCTTGAGGTTACTTGTGCAGTGTAGCTACAGCCTCTCTGGTCTTGATCTGGTCTAATCCGAAGGTGAGGGCAAAGCGACGGGCCAGTTCCTTAATGCCGCTCACATGAGACGAGGTCCTGTCCAAGTTAGGCCCCTGATCCTGGATCAGCTCATTAAAGAGCTGAGAAACAGAACAAATAATGGCATCATTGCGATGATCTGAAATGATAATGTGGGGTCTTATATGCTGTGGTCTCACCTGTTGTAAACTCAAGATGAGTGTTTTGGCACACAGTATCTTGTCCGTCTGTCTGGTCTTACTTAAAGTCTCCTTGATGATGTCGCCATAATCGTTGTAGTACTACATGTGGTTTACAACAAGTTCAGCAGTGTAAGGCATTGAACTCAAGTGTTAGCATAACAATTTAAGATATAAGTATCAATACAGGTGCACTGGCATTGAGGAATTGGAAATAAGCCGTAATAACCAAGCAGGCTAGGATGTGTAGATGAACACAGAGTAAAGCACGCAATAACAATTAATAACTCCAGAGTTTCTTAAATCAGTGCATTAATCACACTGTCTGATTTCAGATGAAGTTTGTTCGTTCAATACAGTCCTCTGATGTTTCATTTTCTCAGTAACAGTAAACACACCACAAGTAATGACCATAACTTACCTTCATGTAGTGTTTGAAGATGTCTGCAGCAGCAGGCATGTCTATGATGTCATAAATGATGAGTTTGCTGAAGGCAGCTAGAAGGTTCCTCCTCTTGTGTAAGGCCTCAATCTTGTTTGCTTCATCCTCTTCATCACCCTCTGTGTACAAAAACATACTTAATTACCACATAGTATAAGAAGATATGTAAACAATGTAATCTGTAATGTGTTTTATATAAATTCCAGTTAAACCTTTTGTGTTAAAAAAATTATCTTCAACATAAATAAAAAAGTTTCTGTATTTTTAAGCAGGCTGTAGTGTCTAAAAAAAAAAGTTTTCTTTTCGAAAGTCCATTCTGCATGCAGCTGTTCTTTATGCACATTATTAAAAAGACTAATTGAATGGCCTTTCTTGCATGTGTCCCAGAGACTTTTAAATACTACTGAAAAAGTAATCAGATTTAAGAGTTAACATCAACCTTTTTTTGATCTTGGATCAATTTTGAAAAGGAACAATCCACTTCTTACAATGAGACTGAAATTTCATTCGGATTAAGCTCATTCAAAACAATTAAGGTGTTTACATGAACAATTTGGAATCTGATTGAATGGTCAATCCGATTAAAACCTGATAACATAATAATTTGGACTTTGCAAGAAAGTGAAAAAAAAAACACTCCTTACTCTAGCAATTAATTGTTTGAGCAGTTCCGCAGTTCAATTAGCACTTCTTGTATGTAATGCCTTGTCTTGTTGAATTACTGAATAAGTCTCCTCAACTGTAAGTTGCTTTGAACAAAAATGTCTTCTTGTTTGTCATCCTCTAAGAAAACGGTTAAATGTTGCCTAGCAACAACAAATGACGAAGAAGTGTGAGCGAAAAGTGCGTCAAAAAAGAATCGCACAGCCCTATTTCCAATGTACACTCATATTTCAAAATTAAATGTTACTGGGCGAATAGGCGGTACTGTTGTAACTCAATTCTAATTTTCACTCTTGTTTTGAAGATTGATGAGTACATTTTTGCAAACTACAGTTGAAGTCAAAATCATTTGCCATCCTCTGAATTTTAATTTAAAATATTTCCCAAATTATATTTAAAAGAGCAGAACATTTTTGACAGTATTTCCTATTATATTTTTTCTTCTAGAGAAAGTCTTATTTGTTTTATTTCAACTAGAATAAAAGATTTAGATTTTTTTAAAAGCAGTTAAGGGTCATTTTAATAGCCCCATTTGGCAATATTTCTTTTGATTCTCTACAGAAAAAACCATCATTATACAATAAGTTGCCTAATTACTCTAACTTGACCTAGTTAAGCGTTTAAATAGCACTTTAAGCTGAATACTAGTATCTTGAAAATTATCTAGTGAAATAGCATGTACTGTCATCATAATATGATTGAGATAAAAAAAAAAGTATTAAGTTATTAAAACTATTATGATTAGAAATGTGGGGAAAATATACAGGAGGCTAATAATTCAGACTTCAACTGTATATATGATTAGTGTTGCTTGTTGGCTCACCTATGCTCTGGTTCTCATCATCTTGATCTATAAACACATGATCAAGAATGAAGTTTAGGAGCTCGTTCTGCAGCGTGCCGTCTGGGATGAAGACTAGCGGCTGCAAACCCTCTCTGGAGCCTGTGGTAAGCTGGTGACTGAAGATCATCAGCAGGTCACAGAGCAGCATGAATGCCTGGGGCACCGTGACAAACACAGAATGAATGACCTTTTGCACATACAGTGGACGTTTCTTGTGGATGAATGGAGGAAGGATCTTCAGCTCACCTGCTCTTTTACCGGCGTGTTGACATTTGATAGACACTGCTGGCATATAGCTAGAAAAGACTTGACAACCCTACGTAGTGCTAGGAGATCATCCTAATAATCAACAAGAAAAGAAATGATGTCTGTTTGAATTGTGCTTTAAATTAAGATTGTTCAATAACAAACAGATCACAAATGTGAGAAGGTCCTTAAAGTTCATTAAACGGTTTAGTTTGATAATGAGAAAGTTGCATTATGTTTCTGTAACTGCTATGTTACGTGATAAAACATTTATTAAAATGTTGGCTTACAGACCTTGGATGGAGCTCCCTCAGTTATCTTCACCAGCTGCCAGAGTATGGAGTAATGAGAACACTGAAGAGCCTGCACTGCTATCTGCACACACACACACACAAGATAAGGATTAAATGATCCATATGAAATCAGTGCTATTGCAGTCACCTATAAAACTTTTCTAGTAAATAGTTGAATTTCACAAACATGTCAACAAATAAAGTTGAGCGGGAAAGTAGCAGAAATGCTTTAGACTAAATTGATTGATTTATTTATAATCTGATAAATTACAGCATTCTGCAGTGAATTGCATTTGTATTACGATACTACAGTACATAATACTAAACATGTTTAATGATACTAAATTGTATAATAAAAATAAGCATTTGATTTTGTCGAATGAATAAAGTAATATGTAATCCTGAATACTAAAAAATACCAAAAAAATCTAAAAAGCTAAAAGAAAATACTGCTCTGCTTGTTAACATGCCCAATGTTGGAATGAAACATAATTTATATATATAAAAAGCGCATGGTGCAAAAGCATTAAGGGCTTGTCCATATCCATTTTTGCTATTTTAAGAACGAAAAAATAGGCTGTGCGCCCCAGCGCATGATCTAACATGGTTGTGCTTATTCTCTTAATAAGTTTGAATATAACGTTCATTAAACCAATCAGTGTCCCATTTCCTGTTTCCTTTAAGGGTCAGTTGCGTCACTCCATGGCACATTTGCTATTTACAGGGTGGACTTTGTAAGTGGAAAAACTGAAGGCTTTACTAGCACGAAAACAGTTTAACAGTACATCTGCAGTGCAAGGATAAAGACTGAGCCTCCTCCATTCGGCATCTTTGCTTTCTCTTTACTTTACTCCTTTGCTTTGGTGGAGTAAGAAAATGGTGTTGTACAAACTCCACTGAAGACATTCATCAGCCTACATATTTAATTTAGCTTGTTAAGCGCAAAGATTTGTTTAAAAACTATTTCTAAATTCAGTTCTAATTTCCAGCAAACAAATAAATGAACATTAAGTTGGGTTGAGTTGTTTTTATTAAATAGTATATATACAGTGTATATATGTACAGTATATTAATACTGCCAATAATAATAACATTATACAAATGCAGATTGTCATGAATAAACTAAAAAAAGCCCACCGAGATGAAGAAGGCATAGAGGCAGTGGTTTTTATATTTGTAACACTTTAATACTAATAATTTGTAAAGATGTTTGTTTATTGCTGTACATCCAGTGTGTATTAAGCAATGTGTAATCATTTTGGACCCAAATAGACGCTTCTGCGCTGGACTTTAGACCAGGTTTCAGTTGGTCAATGGCGCAGTAATATTTCAGTTCCTCAAAATAGCAATACGCCAACAATACGCCTTAACACACCTCCTTTATAAACGGGCACAACCATGAGTCCACAAAGTGGAGCAAATAGATTTGCTATTTAAACAATGTGGTGCAAAATGTGAAAATTAGGGTTGCGCTGGCCTGAAAATAGCAAAAAATGGCACCAAACATGTCTTTTGCCTTATTGTGCCGGGTGTATGATATGGCCCTTAATTTGTAAAATCCAATTTAAGGTTTTTTCTGAAAAAAATGTAAGACCAGCATTAATAAAACTATAGTTATACTATTATTATACATCTGATACAAACTGACTGGAAACAACACAATTTAAATGACTTCACAGTAAAAATAAAGAAATAAATATACAAACACAAAATGCTCCATAAATCTTCTGTATAATTAATGGTTTATTTCACACTATTCTTTAAACTCAGTAGGCTTTAAACATTTTTGGAAGAGGAAATCTACCAACAAGGTTAATTCACAATGACATTAATCAATGTTGCTGATGAAATGTGACCTAGATATGTTTTTAAACAGACGCACCTGCTCAGGCATGGAGCCCTGCTCTATTCCTGTTCTTAGCAATCTGTAGCAGTTTCCAAAAAAATCCCATCTGGTCAAATCATGAGCACTGATGGAGAGGACAGACAGATACATTGCTTGTTCATTAGGTTCATTAGTGGTCAAAAGCAAGCCATTTCTCCAGAGTGATTTAAGAAGACAGAAGTGTACTTGTGAAAGGCTGTAAGTCTCTTCAGAGTGGAGAGAACATTGTAAATGTCGTCATCATCTGCCTCTTCCCCCTGTAAATGAGGCAGACATTCAGAAATGTTTGATTCGTGGTCTGACACAAATATATGAATCATGCACAACCATTTACAGACTCTGCTTTTGGTAAATATGTGTCTGGGAGATCTAAAACGAGAAGAATATTTTTAAGCTCTGTGATGTGAAAGCAGAGAAGAAGCTGAAGAAGCAGTTAAAAAAAAAGCTACCTGATCAAGAGCATGTGTTCTGAAAGTATCTGAACTGAAGTGCGAAATCTTTTAAGGGATAGTTCACCTAAAAATGATCATTCTTTCATCATTTACTTACCCTTCACTTGTTCCAAACCTCTTTTTGTTCTGTTGAACAAAAACATAGATATTTTGAAAAACAGAACAAAATTTCAACAGAACAAAAAACTCAAGTTGGTTTGAAACAAGAAAAGGGAGTAAAAAATTATGGAACACTTTTAATTTTCAATTTAAGTTCTTTTCTTCTGTTAAAAACAAAATAGATTTTGAAGAATGCTGATTGATGGCACCAATTGACTTCCATATTAAGTTCTTTTTCATTTACTCACCCTTTACTTGTTCAAAACCTAGTTGAATTTATTTCTCTTCTGTTGAACACAAAAGAATATACTTTGAAGAATGTTGGAAACCAGTAGTCATTTACTTCCATTGTACTTTCCAATATTCTTAAATATCTTCCTTTTTGTTTAACAGAACAACAAAAAAATGGCTTTGAAAAAGTAAAGGATGAATTTTTTTTAATTTTTTTCCAATTATGGAAGTCAATGGATTCCATCAACCAGCATTTTTTTTTAATATCTTCATTTGTGTTTATAAACTTATAAAGAAATGGTCTCAAACTCAATTCCTGGAGGGCAGCAGCTCTGCATAGTTCAGCTCCAACCAGCTCCAACTCACACCTGCTTAATAGTCTCTAGTAGTCTTGAATACCTTGATTATTTGGTTTAGCTGTGTTTGGTTTGTGTTGGAGCAAAACAGTGCAAAGCTGCGGCCCTCCAGGAATCAAGTTTGACCTATGATATAAAGGTTTAAAACCACATGAGTAAACAATGAGGTAATTTTCGGTTTTGGGTGAACTGTCCCTTTAACAAACAGTTTCACCTAAACCTGGCTGTCAGCTCCTCTGAGCCCTCACCGCTTGCAGCAGCTCCTCCACCGAGTGGTTGAAACGGTCGGCTAGTTCATCGATCAGCTGACTGCGGGCAATGTCCACGCGGTTCATAATGGTGTATTCTTCACTGCACAAGATGCTGTATGTTTTACTGCAGGCCTCCAGCACTTCTGTGTCCGTGTGCTTCTCCACTACAAACTTGATCTGCTTTAGCAATGCGTCCAAGTGCTGGAAAAATTATATTCAGTCTGTTAGACAATTTATCACATTTTTTCTATATGTAATCCCTGTGTTTTAAATTGTGCTGGATATCCTCTAAACAAATTATTTTGAATCATTTTATGAATCATTTTAAACCATATGCAAAGTGAAAACTGAGTAGAAGGTACTTTATTATTATCGGTCATGAAAAAAACATGCTTGGTATTCTAACATGCCATTAGTATCACAAGCATATCTGTGGTCAAATGGCTTTTGAAATTAGAGTGGAAATTTCTGGCTACGTTCACACTGCGAGGCTTAGTGCTCAAATCAGACTTTTTTCCCAGACCTGTTTGTTTTGCATAGCTGCTCACATTGTTGTTATAAATGTGGCCAATATCTTATTTCCAATGTCAACAGATCATGGTCCTAAACTGAGTCGCATGTGCAAAAGTACAACTTTGCACAACATATACAGTGCATCCTAAAAGTATTCATAGCGCTTCACTTTTCCCACATTTTTTTCTTATGTTACAGCCTTATTCTAAAATGGATTCAATTCATTTATTTCCTTAAAAGTCTACACACATTACCCCATAATGACAATGTGAAAAAAGATTTTTTAAATTGTTGCAAATTTATTAAAAATAAAAAAGTCACACTTACGTAAAAAAGATCAGACGTACGTAAGTATTCACAGCCTTCGCGGTGAAGCTCTAAATTGAGCTCAGGTAAATTCTGGCTATTTCTCCATATGTGTTCTTCATACTTCTCATGTTCTTGTGTAACGTCATCATCAACTGCCAAAGTTCAGTTCCAATACTCAAGAACGCAAGAACAGAGGACGCTTAAAACTTCCTGGATGTGTTCTTGATATCGAGGATGCACCGATGCAGACTTGAGCACCAATCTCACTCTAGAAGTCCCAGAAGTCATTACGACCGGAGATGAGAAGCACAGTAATTTATATTTATTTATAATTAAAGTTCAGAGATATAACTAATTTAACTCAGGGGTTTCCCTAAATGAAACAGTGTTTATAAACTATCATGGACATCTTAATAAAGGAATAAACACATTAAGGATGTTTGTTTGCTGAAATTCATACTAAATTCTGTTTTTATTTATATTGTGCAACGTATATTTATAATGTTTTTATGCAGAGTATATATTTTGAAAAAAGGAAAAACAATAAATCGTTGTAAGAATGCTGTAATGTTTAAATAATTTTCAGTTAAAAACGCGTGAAGGTCATGTGATCATCAGGAAGAACGCAGCATCTCATTTCTCAGAGGACGCGTTGTCTGTTCAGGTGGTCGCCCGAGTTCTTCCGAAGACACCTAGCAAGACTCTGCATTCTTGGAATTGAGAAACAGCCTCTGGACAAAATGGGTAAAAATTCCCAAAGACAGGTGTGCCAAGCTTGTGGCATCATATTTAAAAGAACTTGAGGCTATAATTGCTGCCAAAGGTGCATCAACAAAGTATTGAGCAAAGGCTGTGAAAACTTGTGTACATGTGATTTTTCAGGTTTTTCATTTTTATGAAATTTCAAAAACAATTTTAAACACTCTTTTTTTCACATTGTCATTATGGGGTTTTGTGTGTATGATTTAGATTTAAATCAATGAATTTAATCCATTTTGGAATAAGGTTGCAACATAAAAAAATGTGGAAAAAGTGAAGCGCTATGAATACTTTCTGGATGCACTGTAAATGTGTATACTGTATGAAGTACATAAAGCACATTGTTATATTTAGGATTATTGTTTGCAGTGCCTGATAACTTAGCTTACTGTTAATTCATTTTAGTTTGTTATAAACAACCTAAGCTGTATCCAGTTTATAGGCTAATGGTTAATATTTGGTTAACGAGGGCCAGTTGTCATTTAAATAATATTCAAAATAAACGATTTTCAATTTTTGGAGTAAAGTATTTGCCCTGTGTGCTATTCTGCTTTGCTGCTGAGGAAAAGATGATGTTTGAAGCACAAAGCAGTAAAGAATAATGCCGTGTGTCAATTAAAAATTATGTAAAAGTCACATGAATTCCTACATAACCGTTCACACTGTGGTCACTTTGCAAAACATCAGATCTGTATATAATTCAATGTCACATTTGAAAGTGACACAAATTGGAATTGAAAAGATCAGATTCCATGCAGTTTGGGCTGTTCACAGTCAAGACAAATCAGATCTGAGTCACATGTGGGTGAAAAAATCTGATTTTGGCCACATTTGCCTGCAGTGTGAACGTAGACTCTGACAGAATGTTGCAGACAAGTTTAACAGACATTAATGAACATTCTATCAATTCTAGACATTGTCTTTATTTATTAAAAATAATTACATTATTCATCATTTAAAAAAGAAACTACAGTACATGAATGTTCCAAAATATCTCACCTCTTTGTGCCAAATGTAATTCAGTAGATGTTGATCTGTTCCATAGTTTTATTTCTTGTTCCAAGACACAAAGCAATAGGAATGGAATTTTTGAAGTGCCAAAACTTTTGATTGTGGTATTTTCTGAACAAATGCATTTATTATCAGCTACACAACACAACTTGCTCACATACAGTTTTACTACAGCCAAGACGTTATTACTATAATTTTTGAGACATGATTTTTACAATTGGACAAATTATAGTACTGAATAAAAGATCTTAGCCGTTTGATAAAAACTGGCATCCTTTTCTTTGTTAACTTTTCTTTGTTAACTAAAATCCATCATTACCTATGCTAAAAGTAATGTTTATATATATATATATTATCCTACTTTCCTTTTTAAACAAATCTTGTAAACAATCCAGGCTCATTATGAAAATGTACCCCATATACATTTCTGGAGAATGCCAGATATGTCCCAACAGTTACGTTGTTTTGTTTGTTTGCTTGTTTGTTTGTTTGTTTGTTTTTTGCAATTTTTGTTTTTACGAATCCACCAGAGGCTGCTGTGTACGCATTTTGAGATCTCAAATTTTTCTCGCAAGTGCCATTCACACCTGCTGCTCCTGATTGACCGACCGACCGTCCATTCGACTGACCCAAACTCCTCCTTCAATAAACCCAACCAATAGTGTTTTAAAAGCAGAGATTGACCCGCCTAACCATTTCCCTTAACCGAACCAATAAATTTAAAAAGCAATCCAGAAAAACAAAAGCCCTCGTCTGGTTTTTACCACGTTTTACACATTCTCACCATAATATTTACTTGTCCATTTTATTTTTTGGATTCTGTTTTTGTCTTATCAGCTTTCTGGAACTGTTCTTCACTGGACTTGAATCCTGTTGTCATAGTCAACCCCTCTCTGTATCTCAAGTACACCGACAAACATGGCGAGCCAACGGGACAAACTGGTTACAGCGGGAAAGCCGCCCATACGGAGGTAAGCGGTCAGCTGGTAAGTGCGAAAAAGAATGGCGCCCATGTAGCGTTCATTTTAAAATGGAATGCAGCTATACGTACTTCTGGCTACATAATTCGCGATCTCCAGAAACGAACTGTATACAGGGCTACGTTTTCAGAGTGAGCTAACGTTGTTAATGGCTAGTTTGTGATGTTGTTTTTTTACATTTTCTGCCGTTATTTCTTTCTTTAATTTTAATGCCTTTGTACTTTGTTATAATATGTGGACAAAACAAAACTTCAATAAAACTGATCTGACAAAACCCTTCACTGTCTTTTGTTCCTCCAGATTATTTTATGCTGTACAGTAATATTCAATATACGTCCATAATATTGCTGCAAAAAGGTTTTTAATGGAAGTTTGTTAATGGAAGATCTGTGAGGATAAAAATAGCACCTCTTGTACCCATTTTCCCCAAAAAAAAAAAAACACTTCATAATTGCATCAAATTTAATAAAAGTTACTCCCATAATTCATGCAAAGTGTCATGGGGTGTAGACAAAGCAGATATAGATGAAGAAACATCTCACCTTCTCCATTCTCCCAGCGCTGTACACGTCCAGGTCAAAGTACTGTGGGATCTGCAGAAGATTGGCTACTTTCTCTGAATCTGTCTGGTACTGTAAGTGAAAAACAGCTTTATTAATACATAAATGAAAAGTTTTGATGTATGGAAGCATAAAAACAGAAGGCTCTTTGTCCTACTTTTGAGAGCAGCATGGGGAGAGCCATGATGAAATGCTCTGTTAATTTGTTTTTGTCATCAATCTGCATCTTCCTTTCTTTCGCAGTCAAGACCTGCATAATAATAGACTAAACTGAATACCTTTTGGGTTTTAAAGAAACATAAACTGAAGCAGGTGTTATTAGCCATATAAAGTAGCTCGCGAGGTAAAGGTCTTTTACCCTTTTTCCAGTTCCTCTCCCCACTGGCGGATGGGCCTCTGCAGCCTGACGAATGGTACATACAGTCAGTTCAATCAGAGAACTCTCCTGTCTGTCTGCCAACACTGAACACAAACACAGAGACACAGAAAGACATGAATATATTTAGAAGACAATGAGGGTGACTTGTATAGTTAAACTAATTAACCTAGTTGAGTCTTTAAATTAAACTTAAGATGAATACTAGTATCTTGCAAAATAACTAGTAAAATAGCATGTTCTATCATTGCAAAGACAAAAGAAATTGGTCATAAGTAATTAGTTATTATTATAAACTTATATGTAAAATGTGCTGAAAAAAAATTATCAACCCTTTATACAGCTCCTAGGAAATATTTTAAAAAGCATTAAATTACAGAAAGCTAATTATATTGTATTCAAATGTATAATAACCTCAATACCATAAAAAAGCAGCCTAACTGTATTGTTTCTATGGCATTTGTTATGAAAACATTAACTTCAAGACACTGCAAGTACTAATGCAATGACATAACTATAATGACATGAAAATGTTGGAGGGGTCTGTCGCGCGCGTTCTGATCAGCTGTGTTGTCGCGCGCGTGCTCAAGAGCGGTGTTGTCGCGCACCTACTGAAGGGCGGGACCGAGGGTGTGCAGCGTCGCGGGGGCACTTTTGATCATTTTGGAAGGGCACTTTCTATCCAGGACTAAAAAGGGCATGTGCTCTGCACAGGTAGAGCCCTATGTGTGCACGTGCCTGTGTGTGTATATATACAATCATTTTCTCAAGTATATGCATGCTTTGATGCATCACTTGCTTTTGGTCATATCTCGGACAGTTCTACCTATTAAAGTTTATTAAAATATAGATGACAACAGAACATGAGTTGCTCTACAAACATACTTTTTTATTACGGCAAGAATAAAAGCTGTTATCAAAGAAATAATTTGTTCTTCAACTACTAAATTTGTAAGATATGCATCAGTGTAAAACCCAGTGGTGTAATGTAACTAATTACAAATACTCAAATTACTGTAATTAATTACTTTTTCTCAGGAATTATAATTTGCTAAGTAGTTTTAAAAATGTGTACTTTTACTTTCCCTTGAGTACATTTTTAGTGCAGTATCTGTACTTTCTTCTTTCCTTTAACCTGCAGTCACTACTTTATTTTTTCTTGTCTATGGAGATTAGAACAATCAGTCCTGTCATTCCTGTTCAATCAGATCGCACATAGAAGGTAAATCGCCTCATAATGATGGAAAAACATATTTCTGTAATTGTGTACCTGGGTCTCCACTTTTGCCATGGCCTCTTTTGGCTTTTTTAATTAACTTAATTTACTTTTTAACAAAAACTTTCATCCTTTCCCACGGCTGTTGCAATTTCTATTCAAGAATTATTGATTATTTGGTTATCTTTATGATCACGGATCATAAAGATGTCTGTAGAGTCGTACCTGTTTCGAACTAAATCTCTTTAAAGTGTTTCATATTTATCTCAAGTTAAACATGGGGGCGCACAAACTGTTAGCTCGAGTCTTAAAACAAATCATGCACTCCTCCAGCCGAAATCATGTCGCGCACACCCAAAGTGAACCTCTGGAAACACAGCGATGAAGTTACATTCCCCGCGCACACATTCTCAAGCAAACTAGCAGACTCATCAAGTATAAACTAGGCTTAAGGTGATAGTGATAAGATGTGGCTCCTTTTACAGTGAATGTTTCTACATTCAAATGTATTTGTCAAAATCATAATAAATACAATACTGATCAAAAATTTGTTAAAAAATATCCCAAGTGCTTTTTGTCAACCAGGATCGACCGTGAGGCTGTTCGTACCCTCCTCTCCCTGCACTGGCTCCTCCAGTAGCAGTTCAGTCATGCACTCCCAGTCCTTCAGCAGCTCCTGAGAGCTCTCCCACAAACTGTCCACTAGATAGGCAGCATGTTCATGCAGCTGGAAACACAAAAGATGCCATTCAATATTAAAGGCTGGATTCTAGAGACACCTTAGGAGAAAAATATTGTGTTTTACTGTCAAAAATCCGTTGTGGCCATACCTCACTCTCCAAAAAGAAAAGCACCAGCATGCGGATTAGGTTTCCGTTTGGGCTGCTCCTGCCTCTGCGCTTGGCTAGAGCTTCCTCTGCCTGAGGATCATGTCTGCTGAACAACCTATGCATGACGAAGCATTAGGAGAGTAGAATACTTTTAGTTTGTTTGTTATTTGTTAATTAAAAATCTTTAATAAAATAATAATTAAACAATATATAAATTAAAATATAAAATTTAAATACAAGGAAATGTTTCATAATTAAATAAATAAAAAGCTCATATAAATAAAATAATAAAAACTATATAAAATAAACCAAATTAAAACAGTAAAATGTACAAGTAAAATAAAATATATGTAAAATTCAATTCCACTTTAAAATGTAATTTAAATAGTCAAACATCAAAATAAAATAACTTCTTAAGTTAAACAAAATATATTTTATTTAATATTAAATTTGATAAAAAAATACATTTAATAAAATTGTATATTAATATAAAAAATAAAACTAAATGAATTATTAAAAACAATAAAAAATCTAAAAAATATACCATTAGCAGTTAAAATTATAGACAATGTAAGAATTATTTATTTATTATTATTTTTATTAATTAAAAATAACATAATATATGCAAAATAAAATGTACAATATTGTAAGTGTTAAATGTAATTAAGAAAAAATGAAATAATAAAAAAGAAAATTATAGTCAAAGATGTTTAGCTGGCTCACTTCCGATGTAGAAACTCCCCAGCAGCCACTGCTACAGGCCTGTGAGCTGAATACACCAGATGATACACATTCTCACAGTCTTCATTAGACAGAGCATCCTCACTACCCCTGAACAAATCAACAACATTTGATGAAGGAAAGCATCCAGTCTCCAGTCACAATCAGCATCTGAGCTTCACTCACTGCAGGATGAGCGTGACCAGTCTGATGGCCTCCACAGCAACATCATACTCTTTATCCAGCGTCATGGACACGATACGGTCCTGTCAGGACAATTCAGCAGGGTTAATATGGAGCAGACATTCAGAGAACTCTTAATTCTGTCACTGAACAGCACTCTTACCTTGAAGCGGTTTGTGAAGAGCTCAAGTTTTGGAAACAGTTCACGGTTTGTGTAAAGGTTTTGTAAGGCTTTCAAACACTTCAAGCGCACTTCACCTTGCTGGAAAACAAGAAAGTTCTGACATTAAGAAGAGACAATGGGAAAACACTGGATCTCATTCACTAATAACTGCCTATATTTTTTTTGTATTTATACGCACATTTGAACTTCCGACGAAAACGTTCTGCCTAATTCACAACAAAATGAGTTTCTTAAACATTCAAACAAAATCCAATGCACTCAAAAAGTTAGTTTGTTGTTCTTAAACTTGTTTTTCTGTTAGTGACTTTGGAGTGTTTGGTGAAATGAAGAATTAAGAAAGAGATAATTATGGCACTAAAACAAAAGAATAAGAACTTTAATGGTAATGAAAGTTTTGATGTTGGATGTGGAACACGATTTTACTTCTAAAATCTTGAGGTGTCTTGCAATGCATTTTTTTTTGTTGACTTTAGAAAAGACTCTTCTATTTTTTATGATCCTGGGCAACCACACTGCATCAATGCACCTGATGCTCAGGCACTTTTTCCAACTCCACAAAGCACACCAAACATCATAAGATAAGATAAACATCATCCTAAAAAGTCACCTTTTGACACAAAAAACATATTTGAATGAGATTGGGCCCAGAACAGTCCATCACTCTCAGCAAACATATCTGTATGCTCTCTAAAGATGCAGTCACAGTTGACAAAGCCTCGAAACTTAAGGTGAGACACTAATTATGCCTTATATAAGGATAGAACAAAAGATTTAATGGTTTATTAACGAAAACGTCTGTACGCACATTTTTCATATAATTTTGTATGTTGGTATGGTTAGTCTCTTCACGCATGCTTCAGAATATATGTAATTGGTGAAATATGCTTAAAATGGCTCTTTTAGTTTGTTTAGAATTACTTTAAATAAAACTAAGAGACTATTATGATACATAATAGACATAAATTATATATTTAAACCTGAGTTAAGTTAATTAAAAATACAAATGTATTCAAACTTTAATTTAATAAAATTGTGTTTGACCAACTTAACTGCATTTAATTGTATATCCAAATTTATTGGATGGAAATCCTGCCCTCAATTCAATTAAGTTCATCCAATGAGTAACTTTTTTGAGTGCACCTAAATTTTGAGATTTCTAAACAAAAGTATCAGTCTAAAGTAAATAAAGCATTCAAACTACAATCTGAAGTGTTCCTTTTGTCGCACTTTATGAATTTGAGCTAATAGGTTTCAATTGCATTTTTTAAAAGCTGTCAAAATTAGTTGTTTTCCTCCAGCACTGAGCCATAAATCTCCAAATCAGCATCATTTACATACAATAAACCTCACTATACACTATATGAAAAAGTTTTATTCATATATATGTTCTTAGTTTTTTTCTACAGTTGAAGTCAAATGTATTCGCCCTCTTGTGCAATTTTATTTTCTTTATTAAATATTTCCCAAATAATGTTTAACAGAGCAAGGAATTTTTCACAGTAATATTTCCTGAAATATTTACTCTTTTAGAGAAAGTCTTATTTGTTTTATTTCAGCTAGAATAAAAGCTATTTTTTGTTTAATTAACAATATTATTAGTGTCCTAAAGCAATATTTTTTGTTACTGTCTACAGAACAAGCCACGGGTATTCAATGACTTGCCTAGTTAGCCTCATTAACCTGTTTAAGTTTTTAAATTGCGATTTAAGCTGAATACTGCCATCTTAAAAAATATGTCGTGAAATAATATTTTCTTGCAGTAGCACTTCCGACATCCCAAGTTCGAATCCCGGCTCGAGGACATTTCCCGTCCCTACCCCCTGTCTCTCTCCCATTTTGCTTTCTGTCTGGAATACTGTCATATCCACTTAATAAAGGCCAAAAAAAGCCAAAAATAATCTTTACTATCATCATGACAAAGAAAAAATGAAACAGTTATTAGACATGAGTTATTAAAACTATAATGTTTAGATGTTGAAAAGATCCTTCTATAAAACAGAAATTGGGGGATAAATAGACAGGGGGGCTAATAATTCAAAAGGGCTAATAATTCTGACTTCAACTGTACATGATTTGGCCAAATTTATTACTAACTACAAAAAAAAAATATTTTTATTAAAAAATGTTCTGTCAGTTTACACAGTTTTTCAAATTATGGAGTGAAAAAACAGATACTCAAAATCCTGTGTACATTCGCTGTGTAAAAAAACAAACCAACATTGAATCCAATTTGTCACAAAATAACAAACCAAAATCATGAGCCGTACCCGGTCATGTAAGGTCCAGCCCACATACTTCAGGTAGCTGTCGTTCAAGAAGGCATCACTGTACATTTTCATCCATACACCGATCTCCTCTATACAAATGGCTCTGATTTCAGCTATTGCATCCCTGGCAGAGGCACACAGAAAACCAGATCAGAACTCTACACACAACCACATGTGCTATTATCGAGAGCAGATATAAGTTTAAGCACCTATAGCGATGAACAAAGATTCCCTTGAAAATGGAGTTCATCATGTTTTCGATTTCATCTTGGTTTTCTTGAAGCTGGGGAAAAAGTTTGTTTACATGAGGAAATGATCAATGTCTGTAGCCAAAAAAAATCTCTGGAGTGGATTTCTGTTATAATTAGCGTACATAAAAAACAATGGTAAGTTATTGAATAATGAATAATGAAAATGGAATAATGAAAACACAGGGTTGCTGAAGACATAATACCTCTTTCCTCTTTTGAAGCAAGAGCTCCAGCTTCTCAGTGGCTCTCTTTCCCACTATTTTGCTGCGTTCAGCTTCGTACTGTCTCTGTGTGTTGTCCTGGTTAATGCTCAGGTTCAGAGCCACGTTCACCAGAGCTGTCATCAGCTTCATGGCTAAGACCACAGAAAAAGTTTACAGATGTTTCTTTTGTTTTTTTTTTAGAGAAATATATTGAAGGAACTTAAAAACAACTTGCTTGTTTTTTCAAGAGTATTTAATAATAAAATAATACTATTTTTATTATAACTGTTATAATTATCATACCTATTTTATTATTAGCAGCATTTCTTAAAACATTTAAAAAAATTTGTATAATTATTATATTTTAGGCTATACATGACTTTTTTGTAATTTTTTGAGCATTTGTTTTATTTCTTTTTATGTCTAGCTAGCTTTAAATATTTTTATTTTAGTTTTTATTTGAGTTACTTTAATATTAACTTACGTACAAAACATTTTACACTATTGTTAGCTGACATCAGTTTTCATATTTCATTTGTTCAGTTAACATTTAATTCTAGAATTGACTTTAGTGTTATGGTTTTACTTTTACATTTAAATTTACATTTAGTCATTTAGCAGACGCTTTTATCCAAAGCGACTTACAAATGAGGACAAGGAAGCAATTTACACAACTATAAGAGCAACAATGAATAAGGCAAGTTTCAGGTCTGTAAAGTCTAAGAAGGAAAGTATTAGTAATTTTTATTTTTATTTTTTTTGGGTACAGTTAGTGGTATATCCAGAGAGGCAATTGCAGAATAGGAAGTGAAGTGGAGACTAAATAGTTGAGTTTTTAGTTGTTTCTTGAAAACAGCGAGTGACTCTGCCGTTCTGATGCAGTTAGGGAGTTCATTCCACCAACTGGGCAGATTGAGCGTGAGCGTTCGCAAAAGTGATTTCTTCCCTCTTTGGGATGGAACCACGAGGCGACGTTCATTCACAGAACGCAAGTTTCTGGAGGGCACATAGATCTGCAGAAGTGAGAGCAGATAAGAAGGAGCAAAGCCAGAAGTCGCTTTGTAGGCAAACATCAGAGCTTTGAATTTGATGCGAGCAGCAACTGGCAGCCAGTGCAAACGGATAAGCAGCGGAGTGACATGTGCTCTTTTAGGTTCATTGAAGACCACTCGTGCTGCTGCATTCTGGAGCAGCTGAAGAGGCTTGATAGAGTTAGCTGGAAGCCCAGCTAGTAGAGAGTTGCAGTAATCCAGTTTGGAGAGAACAAGAGCTTGAACAAGGAGTTGAGCTGCATGTTCAGATAAGAAGGGTCGGATCTTTCTGATGTTATAGAGTGTGAATCTGCACGATCGAGCAGTTCTAGAAATGTGGTCAGAGAAGTTTAGTTGGTCATCAATCGTTACTCCAAGGCTTTTCACCATTTTGGATGCAGTAATGGTTGCCCCATCCATCTGGATTGAAAAGTTATGGTGTAGAGTCGGGTTGGCAGCAACTACAAGCATTTCTGTTTTTGCGAGGTTAAGCTGAAGATGATGATCATTCATCCAGTGTGAAATGTCCAACAGGCAGGCTGAGATGCGAGCTGGAACCGAGGGATCATCAGGATGAAAAGAGAGGTATAGTTGGGTATCATCAGCATAGCAGTGGTAGGAGAATCCATGTTTCTGGATGACTGGTCCTAGAGATGACGTGTAGATGGAGAAGAGAAGTGGCCCAAGAACAGAGCGTTGAGGTACCCCAGTGTTTAGATGCTGTAGGTTGGACACCTCTCCCCCTCAAGACACCCTGAATGACCTGTCAGAGAGGTAAGATCTGAACCATTGTATAACAGTGCCCGCAACGCCCAGTGACTCGAGGGTAGATAGCGGGATCTGGTGGTTGACAGTGTCAAAAGCAACTGACAAGTCCAGCAAGATGAGGACTGATGATTTTGAGTCTGCTTTAGCCAGTCTGAGATCCTCCACGACCGAGAGCAGGGCAGTCTCAGTTGAGTGGCCTTTCTTAAAGCCGGATTGCTTGTTGTCCATGAGATTACTTTTAACTATAAAGCCCTGCAACTATACTGAGAAGTAAACAATTCATATTAAAAACAACAAAAACAAAATCGTTATTTTATCAAACAACTTTTTAAAATGATTTAATAGTAGGTAGTTGGTAGTGCTGTCGCCTCACAGCGAGAAGGTCGCTGGTTCGAGCCTCGGCTGGGTCAGTTGGCATTTCTGTGTGGAGTTTGCATGTTCTCTCAGTGTTTGCGTGGGTCTCCTCTGGGTGCTCCGGTTTCCCCCACAGTCCAAACACATGCGGTACAGGTGAATTGGGTAGGCTGAATTGTTCATAGTGTATATATGTGTGCGAATCAGTGTGCATCCACTGCGTCAAACATATGCTGGATAAGTTGGCAGTTCATTCCGCTGTGGCGACCTCAGATTAATAAAGGGACAAAGCCGAAAAGAAAATGAATGAATGGATAAATGAATAGTATACTTTGCTGTTGTTTTTTTTCTTTTTTCAGATTAAATGAAAATAGGTACTAATAGAAAAAATATATACACACACACACACACACACACACACATGTATATGTATATGTAAATGTATATGTATATTATTATTTGGTTTGTATTGTTTTCACTGCAATGTAAAACCCAACAGTCAACTTTATCAAATGAAATGAGTGTAGTTAACTCAAAATTGACTGAAAGGTAATTCTACTCATTTGAAAAGAGTTTGAACTCATGAATGTAATGAGTTAATTAAATACCTCATTACTTCATTTTAAATGGAGTAAGTTCACAGTAATCAAATAGATTAGAATTTTAACTTAAATGGTTTGTTGTTATCGGTCTTCTCAAACGGTGTGAGTTGACTTATTGGGTTTTACAGTACTCAGTTAATTGGAGTTCTTCTCATTCTTTAGGTTTTATTGTGCTCAAATCGCTTCGTTTACTCAAATGGATTAAGTTTACAGTACTCATTAGGATCAGTTTTGAACTTAAACTGTTTGAGGAAACCGATTGCAACAAACCATTTGAGTCACCTTAACTTTTTGCATTTTACAGTGTGGGTAAACGTTTCTAAAAAACTATAAAAATTAAGTATATTTTTAAAAAAAGAAACAACCAATCATTTACTCTGGCAGTAAAAGATCATCATAACAAACATGTCTGTACCTGCGAGAGTGCTGGTGTGTCTGAAGGCTCGGACCTGTGAGTCTGACAGGCCCGTGAGCAGAGAGATGACTGTGTCCATCATGTATTCATCATAGATGATGCTGTACTGGCACTGGCGGATCAGTACACAGATGAACTCACAGAAGTTGTAGCGAAACTTCTTCCACAGAGGGCCAGAAATGGTCAAAGGGTAATCGCCACTGTCCTGCATTGAAACACAAAGTGAGATCAGGCTGGGGTATAAAGCTCATTGCACACAGCATAAATGAGGGGGGGGGGGAATACCTCATCAAACTCTTCTGTCATTTTGCGGATGATTTCAGCATTCTGCATATTGCGAAACATTTCGATTCTTACAGTGCCTGAAATGAAAGAAGAGTGTAATCATCACTACTGTTAACAAAGACTTACATATTATGATTATTATTGTTTAATATTATTTAAGTTATTTTCAGAGCATGAATTACTAGTACCTTTACAGCCAGAGCACTGGATGAAGAAGTTGATGAGGTCCAGAAGTGCTAGATCTCTGTCCTGCTTATACGACTCGATCCAGTCATCAACCACAGACTGAAAGGGTCATGAAAACAACATCAACACGTTGGAAAAATTGCTCAATGAAAGCTTTTCCAGAAAAAAATTAAGAGTTATTAAGTGAGTCTGCTTGTGAAATCCTTTTAATATGAAAACACATAATGTATGTTGAAAACAGTTGTGGAGGCTTATGGATGTTAATTGTTAAAGGATTTTTTTGATAAACCAAAACAAAAAAGAAAAGTATTTACAATTAGTGTTCTTCTATTTTTGTTCTTTTTTTTTTTTTTGCAAATCTGATGTATTTTGTCAGAATATTTTTAACTCTATGTTTTAATGTAAAAACCTATTTTTTATTACGTCAAAAAAAAATATATAGGGTTTTTGCTGATTTCACAAAATGAAATTTAGGATTTTTTAAGACCTTTTTAAGACCACAAAGGTTTAAATTTCAACTTATAGATGGGCTAAATGCTAAAGATTTTAAATGGCATTATAGAATTTAAGGCACAAAACTGCTAAATTTTTTTGAATCTTTGATTAATAAAACTTTAAAGACAAAAGCATTTATTCAGCGTTCGTGTTCTTTCAGTAGCAAGTAACTAGTGTAGTTTTTATTAATGCACATAGTGATTTGTAATGTTTTGTTGTTGTTGTTGTTGTTGTTATGTTGGTTGCACACCTGCATAGCACTCTTTCCCTGTTTGACCACTTCAAACAGAGTAACAGGATCTCCCTCTCCATTCTGCTGGCTGATGCCATTGGCCTTTCTCCCCCTCTGGACTGCCATAAAGCCCTTTTCTGATGGAGACTTCCGAGGCTTCTTGTTGGCTGCCTGGAGTCAGGGGGAATAGAAATGTTGGGTTAAATCAGAAATAACACACAATACTTTCTTCTGTTATAGGTCAAGAAAGCAGTGCTTATGTGAGGCATACTGGTGGTCTGCCAGGTCTTCCTCTCTTCTTCTTGATCTTTCCGTCTCCAGGGTCATCCAGCTCACTCATGCTCATACTGAGACTCACTGTGTCCTGACCTGAATCACCAGTGTCCCTGACAGAAGAAAAACACACACAAACACACACTGTCATCTCTTCTTGAACTCAGATCAACCTCTGAGTCACTAAGTCACATAAGTTTTGTGACGACATGCGTTTTAAAAGCTACATTTTACTTGTTAATAACAATAACTCAATAAATTGGAGTAATTAATATTAATGAAATGTAGGTCAAAATATTTTTTTTATCAAAACTGTTTTTGTTTAATTATTTTTTAATAAAAAACTAACAGAAGTTTCCAAAATATATTTTAAAAAAATGGTTTTATAGAACCCTTTATATGACGATTCAGCTTGATTAATGTTAATAGAATTAATATTTTATATTTATTTATTTTAATAAAAGTATATTTTGCTGTATTTACCAGAATATACAAAACAAATATTATTATTATTATTATTATGATTGCTGTTATTTTACAATATTTATTCTATTCATTGAAAACTTTAACCACAGTATTAGTATATAACTAAAATAATGAACTGTAAATAAAAAATGCCTAAATTAATTAATTAAATCCTAAATTAATAAGCTTAATTATAATGTATTATTCTCCTCATCATTCTGATTTTAGCATCAGTGAATAAATATTGTAATTTTCATTAACAGTTCAAAACAATTTGATAAATAAAAATAAATCAAATAAAGCTGTTTACATTTAAACATGCTGCATCATATATTCCAAAGCAGCTTTTAACTTGACTTTGAATAAATTAGTTTACACTTGACACTTACAATAAATGTTGTTAATACAAGTTTATGTACATGCGACGTGCAGTATAGGTCTGTATAGATAAAATTATACATATTTTTAAAGTAATACTCAATGAACTATGTGAATGAAATACTCTGTTTGATATCCTGGATCTCCTCTTTGCTGAGGAAGCACCTACTGTTCATTGAAATACTAAATAAATAGTATTTCTCTATTTAAATTTATTTATAATAAATTTATATAAATAATAAATGAATAAAATTGTCCTTCATTTAAATTAAGCAGTGAAAGAACAAGAGAAAAGGGTGAGTTCTACCATTTATTTAGCTCAACAATAGTGCGCTGTCACTTTGACAATTAGGATGAAACATTTAAATGACATTATTTGGGCGATGCCGAGTTTTTCCTTCCATTTAAGATTTATATTGTTTTGCTTGTCATGCTAGAAAAAAGTTGTCTGAGCATAACACATACACACATTTTTATGGTGTAAAATGAATTATTCCTTCTTTATTGATTATATTTGTTTAGACAACAATTGCGATTCTTAAGGTTGTTCTCTTTTTAAAACATTCTATTATGTTTCACAATTGTACCTTAACTTCTCTTAAGACAGAGAGCAGATTGTTTATAGTAATGGTTTAGTGTGAAAGTGTAAATGAAGAGAGGACTCACTGTAGCACCGGCAGCTCTGAGGTGATCATGATGACGGAGGGTTAGATGTTGTGTTACAGGTCTGAAGTGTGTCTGCTCTGTTGGGATGGGTCTTCAGTGTGCTTTAAAAGGAGATCACAATTTTAACATGGCGACTCTGAGCCTGCAAGACATGAGAAAGAAACAAATATATCAGACATTTGTTTGTTCAGAATAGACTAGAGGAAAACATGCACTCTATATATTTAGATCACTCTGAAACTGAAAGTTCTGTCATTATTTACTCGTTTCAAACCAGTTTGAGTTTCTTTTTGTTCTGTTGGACATGAAGAAACATATTTTGAAGAAAGCTGGAAACCTGTAACCATTGACTTCTATACTTATTTTTCCTAAAATGCAAGTCAATGGTTACAGATGTTCACTTTCTTTAAAATATCTTTGTTTAGTCTTCAACAGAAGAAAAAAATGTTAAGAACTGCTTAAGAGAGAGTAGATAGTATATTTTCATTTTTGGGTGAACTACCTACTTCGACAAATCAAATATTCCACAGTCAAAAATTAGTGATACTTGTGTTTATTGACATATAACCAAAATAAATGTAACATTATGTGAATCGTGTCCCTTTCAGCTGTTCAAATGTTATAGACACACGTTTTTGCGCGTTTAAAACCTTGAAGACCTTCTGAACCACTAACATAGGCGAGAAGTCAAGTTTAAAAGGTTAAACAGCGACACCAACTGGTAATTTGATGAACTGCAGCAGCACATCATTATCAACAGAAGTGTCAATCTATATAATCGCTTTTAAGAGATACAAACACACAAACAAGCATTAGGAATTCTGCTACATAAATCATTTGTAAAACGGATTTAAACTCACACTGACATCACCAAAACCAAAATCTACACGTTTTAAGTTCAGATAAATCTTCTGTCATTACTGTTGTTCATAAAATTGCATTTTGGTATATTAAAAATAGGGTTAAATACCAAATTTAAGTCACTGACTAACCAAAAGTAAATTCATTTAATTTCCTAAGTATTACGTTTTTACCTTCAAAACACAACAGAAGACTTAAAGGTGTCTGTTTGATTGTTTAATACAACACAGAGGCAAAGCACATCAAACATTTAATTTTTAAAAAGTAAGTAAACAATAAAGTAAGTAATTTAACTGTGTCATGTGCACGTTGTCCTGACTAAACTTAACTATGACCACTAGGGGCAGTATGAACCATAAAGTACTTGACCTTTAATGATTCTTTGAAGCGATTATAAAACATCTTTTTAGGAGAATTTCCAAAGCTTTAAAAATTTAAATGTTGTTCTTTAGGCTCTGAGAGAGGGAGTACTGCTCATAAACACGCTTTCTGGGTGATTTTCCTCTCACTAACCCAAAGCTGAACTCCAAAGGATGTAAAGCACTTCTCGGGCAACAGTAGGGGGCAGGCTAAGAAAGTTTTCATTAAAATGTTCCCTCTCCACTAATACTTCAATGTGAAAATGCACACAAGTGAACCACAGTATAAACACTCTTCAGGTTTTGTTTTAATCTTTCCTTCTATAATGCAGATTAACTCTTACGGTGATGCATACAGACCACCAGGTCATGGTGAGGATTTCCAGAGTACTATAAACTCTAAATTTACACTCTCAAAAATGGAAAAGTTACAAAACAACTCTTTAATCCCAACCATCTTTATACAGAAAAAATAATTTATTTCATTTCATTAAATCTTAATGAACTGTGAACTACAGGTAAGAGTTTAAAAGTGGTGAAAAAGTAAAGCTTATCCACGTTAAACTGCCACTAGATGGCTGCACACTGTAGGTGTCCTGGAGGACTGGCTTTCACAGGTGCAGTGAAGTTAAACTCGGTTGCTTTTAGGAGATACAGACAAAAACTTTTGTTCAAAAGTCCTGTTTATCAGTGTATTAATAACAAATAAGTAGCATTGATGTGGGCAAGAGTGTGTTTGAGAACTGTCTGGCGTGTATTTGACCCTGTGGCCTCATCCTGAGTGGCGTCTTGCGCACATTAGAGCGTCTAAATATGACCTCCCCTCCCCCATTGCTGACACACTGCTGCTAAAACACTCACTAGCAGCACATGGCCACACATTACACAGGGTGCTGTATCACACCACAGCAACACTAGCAAAAACACACACATGCAGAATGTCTGAAATTAAACAGACACAGGTGGACCTAGGTTCATTTCGAGGCCAGTCTAGGTATACATTTAGTAGAAAAGTAGTAAAATTAAAATAAAAACTTAAAATTAAAATGAACAATGACTGATTGACTGAAAATGATTGACTTTTTTTCTCCAGAACTTTAAAATATTAAGGATAATATTTAGCCCAACTAAATTGTTATTTAAGTTTCATTAGTCAATTTTTTTAGGTTAACACATGATATTTTTTTGTCTGTTATATAATATAGAAATTGTTGTTTTAATCATGTGTAAGCACTAAGCAGACATTGTCAAGTATGTAACAAAAGGGGAGGGGGGCATCAACTTTCTAAAAGCACTTTTTTTTGCAATAACGGCTCATCTCGCTGTGGCAACCCCAGATTAATAAAGGAACTAAGCCGTGTAGTGGCAATTTTCTTTAAGGAGGCTCTCTCGGTGGTCAAGAAGACAAATTCTTACCCAAAGTGTCTTTTAAAGTTTTATTCTTTGCAAAGAAGGTCACAATCTTACATCAACGTTTCTGCAGAGAGTGAGACACAGAGTGCGTTCTCTTTTTATCTAGTTTGTAATACCCACAAGGTCATCAGTGACATACAGGATGAATCACAGTTACATCAGCGCTCAAACTTCACTTTTGACCATCTACATTTTAGCCTTACACCCCATCCGAACATGTAGTTTGTTAAATCACCATGTACTTGTCTAGATCTTGTCTAGTGATAAACAGATGTTAAAGTGGTCACATTTGGTCTAACTTAAACAGTAAATCCATGAAAAAATTAACGAACAGACTTTAATAATTAGAACAAATTAGTATATAAAATGAAAATAAGTTTAATCAAATTAATTTCCACCACAGCCGAAAATAAAATGAATGAATGAATGAATGAATAAAAGAATGAATGAATGAATGAATGAATGAATGAACGAATGAATGAACTAATGAATGAAATTTTAAAGAAGTATTACAATGGTATGGCATTGAAAAAGATAGCGAGAAAAAAAACACTTTTCAAAAGCACTGACTAATGAAGATTATATGAATGCAGTTAGAATGACTTATATTATAATTCAAGTTAGGGCTGCACAATCTATAGCTTCAGAATCAGCAATTCTGATCAATATCACAATGTTCGAAATAGCAATAGTCACATTGCAGGATATGCAATGTTGACCCAAGTTTAACCATAATAGTGTGAATGTTTATTATTTGCAAGAGTTTTTAAGGCCAGTGACTGAGCATTTCAAGAGAGTTCAAAATATTTGGGCACAAACTTTATGATATTGAGTAACAAAGATTAATTGTAGTTAATTATTTATACAATTTATGAAAAAAAAAAAAAACTTGTTTCTAGTGCAAATATCTACATCTTAATGCCATAGTAAGATTATTTTACTCACCCCATTGGCAGATAATTTAGCTTGTTTTAAGAAAAAAATTATTTCTTCTAAAGGTGAAAACAAAACAGTTTTTTATCTAAGAATTGAAAATTGATCTAAGAATCTAAGTAGAAATGCAACAAAGTAAGAAAAGTATTTTTTGCATTGTGATTATTCAATTTCAAATCAAATCAAAATCAAATCACTTTTATTGTCACATCAGCAGCAGCACGTGTGCTATGATGAGTGAAAAGCTTAGTACAGCTAAAAGTGTACTAAATACTGCACCTAAACACTGTTAGACCGCTCAGAAAACTTTTAAATAGTGCTATTCAAACCATCTTGTGAAACTGTATTCATATCTTAATATTTATCGGCAAAAATAAAATATCACAATATTCGATTTTTCCAATATTGTGCAGCCTTAATTCAATGATGAAAAGAAAATCTCTGTATGTGTTTTAATTTTGTTCATAAGATAAGTAATTCAGATTAATTAGAAATATATAATTAACTGTAAGTATTTAACAAGGGAGATGTTTTTTCCAATATCTGTACAGAAAATGTACATTTATTTTAATACCAGTTCAATAAAACATTTAGTTAATAATGAGTGAGTTACACGTTAGACACAATATAATTCATTTATAGTTCAGAAAAAGCCAAAGGGATTAAGCCAAAAAGAAAATCAATGAATGAATAAGCCAGAATATTTGTGCATCTCAAAGAGACACTGCAGCACTTCTTTCTTAAATTATTACATTTTTTTTCTCAAATCATGGCAGATTTTGTCATATTTACCTATGACAGGCCTAACCTAGCCAAGGTATCAGCACAAAAATACATTCAAATTATACATGTGCATGCCCTTAGTTACTAGAATGCTTTACTATTTTGATTTACAATATTTGTCGGTTGAATACTCAATTACAAAAGTGTCATTCCTTCCAAAACCCAAAATATCTTGTGCTCCACAAATAAAAAATCATCGAAGACCATATCAATTTACATGAGTGAGCAGAGTTCTATTACAGACTTGAGCAAAACTTCAGTGATATGTTGTAGGGTTGCATGATAAATGAATGAAAACATGAAATCAATATAACAATTTATCAAAAGCTGTGATCACTAGTAAATCTCTGAAGACCAGACGGTGCTCTTGCAGGAGAGAGGAGACCCAGGATATCAAACAAAGAATTTAACTGCTTTCATTGATTCAATGTAACTAACAATCACACAACAATGGATTCATCTCAGAGGACGATTTATTTCAGACACTCGAATGAAGTTATGTAGTGGGTTTGGCGTAATGGTTTATTTTTTACATACTTTCAGATGTAGCAGTAAAACAGAGCTGTGGATTACAGAGAAATGACAAAAACAGCTGTCAAATAGGGTAAAAGCACAGGGACTTTTAATTTTGAGTAAGCCAGGTCAAGTGCTTCCAGTGAGCTTTCTTTCCATTACAATATCATTACATTTAAGATCTGGTTTCTTTAAAAATCTTCGCTGCCTGATTGACAAACAATACAAAGTGGTTCTCAGACCAGACAAGAAGCACGTAATTAAATTCAATTGTTCTGCA